TAAAACAAATTTTCATTAATAAAGTAGGAATGTACTTTTATGGTGATTATTTAAAAAAAATAATTTTTTTAGATATTACAGAAAATACTAAAATTAAATTAATTTTTGTTTAAAAAAAAAAAACTGGTCTATTAAAATATTAAAATTAAAATAAATTGAAAATATTGTTATATTCTAATATAGATGGACTTCCCGTACTATTTTAAAATTAGTACAATGATGAATTATTTGAAAATTATTATGAACCAACAGTTATAAAAGAAACACAACCTTTTAGAAGAAGAAAAAAATTCTTTAAAAATATTAAAAAGTTTAAATGTATTTAATATTTTACTTTTCTAGATTGTTATTTCTAATTTCATTATTATATATCACAGTATATGACTTTTTAGCTCTTGTATCAATATATAATAATTTTTAATAAATATTTATAGTATGCGAATTGCACACTTTACCTACCTACTTGTTATTACTTTTATCGAAAACAAAGTATTAAAAAATTACGTAATTTCACTATTTTACAATGCAATATTATTATGAAACTGTATACTCTCTGAATTTTCAAATACTTTTGAAACACGTCACGCATAGAAAATATTATTAGTTTATGGATGGTAGAATCGATTCACGTAAATTCACATAAATAAATAACATAAACAAAGTATCTAGAAAATAAATAAACTGACAACCATACGTGTAAAAATTTAAATAATACCATTTTCAATTTAATAAAATGTGTTAATAACCAATAATTATGTGTAAATAAGATGAAATAGTAAGTAAATTTCGCATAGAACATTAATGAAATAATAATATATGAAATACTTTATAAAATTAATTGATGTCTACAAAATATTAATATAAAGCTTTTATTAAAAATTATATAATTCTTTTATGGAAAATTATTCCTTCGTTACTATAATATAAGTTTTTCTTTCGTAAAGCTGACATCTAGATATTTTATATTTAAAAAAAAATATTTTACACAATACTTCTCTTTAACATAATTTATTTCCAAAACATTTGCTATATGCACTTTAATTTCAAAAATCATTTTTAAACATTGAAGGATAGTGGCATGAAGGAATATTCAAATATTTCACTGATTTGATATGTTATGTAATACATATTCCTTACTTTACCAAAGCTACCACAATGTATAATATTTTTTCATATTTAATTATGAATTCTTAAAATAAAAATCCATTTATGATTTAATACATCAGGATTTATTAAATTATTTTAACATAATAAACTTTACAAAAATATTAGTTAAAAACGTTAAAAAATTATTAGTTGTAATCATATAAATCTCCATCACATTGTTGTTATTACATTGAATTGTTTAGCACTGAAAAATTTTATTAATAAATTCAATGAAATTGAACAATGTTTCTATTATTCAAGTTGATAGCGATGAAATATTATAATTATCCAAGCTATAATTATTCCAAATAATATGCACAAAAACAAATTAAATATGAGTCGTGAAATCAAAATATTTCACGCTTTTATGAATTTCTCACCCTCTTAATCGTCAACTATTATATTGAAAAATTTTACAATTATGACTCTCTGTCGCTATAATGATGTGGATGCATTTATCTAATTAATGAATCTAAAGAGAAAAAAAAAACATATTTTTACATCAATTATTCAGAGTTCTACTCACTTATTGAATTGGAAGAAATAGCTTATTAAACTCTTCCAAAGCACAAGTATTGCCGAGAACAAAACAAATACAACTTATGAGTAATTACGACATAATTAACTTCTACATTTTGCACGCTTATGAATGTTGAAATCATTCGATATACGCGTACCTGTGGTTTATTGTGAGAATCATTATATAATATTTATTTATTTTATATCTATTTAACTTTAAATTACATTATATATATATATATATATATATATATATATATATATATATATATATATATATGTATGAATTTCAATTAAATTTCCTACCTAATAATTTCTTAATTAATGATTCATTCTCGATTTTTATTTTCAAATTTTTGCGTTTTTATACAATTCATATTCTAGCAGTTTGCATTTCTTACCATCAAAATTATTTTTCTATCCTATCCCTACTCTCGTATCAACAAAATGTACATCAACAGCACTTATTACAATCGTGTACACGCAAGCGGCTGACAAGCATATTTGTCTTATTTTTCTTTAACCGGCATTGGTAATTTCACTAAACGTGCAAATTTCTTCAATTATAAATGTAACCAATATTGATCTCGTATATCAGAATTCTGTGGGAAACCGTATTAAAGCACAAGAAAAGAAAGAATATAACACGCGGCTAATTTTCTTAGAAACAATTGATTTTTGTATTGAATACGACACGTAAAAGTGATAGATACAGGCCCAATTTCCCGACAACTATTGACCATCGGAAGCTCGAGACAAACAAGGAAAAGAGATGAGAAAGCGAGATTCGACCTAGGCATGTAGAACAACATCGTTAAGATCAACCCAATGGATTCTCCCATGAAATAGCGATGATAACGGACTACCGACCAACCAGGAAGCCGGTCGAACCGGACATGGTGACGATCGCTCTGGACGAAACTCCCATTTACCCGATAGAATCGTCGCTTTTATTCCCACAATGCTTAGCGTATACGGCTGACAATGCACACCCAGCACCGTAAGAAGGGGTCGAAAAAGGTCGGTGCACCAGCTCGGAGCGACGTGCGTGACTTGCGTCGGTTGTTCCTGGTTAATTGCGTAGACGTCATCTAGGTCACATGACCGGCTGTTTAGCTGCCGCCCTCCAGCAAGTACGCGACCCTTTTGCCGGAGACATTATACTGGAATCCCTTTATATGCCACATCCTCTGACTTCTTACTACATTATAAATTGAAAAATTAAAATAACTTATTAGAATATTAATGTATAAAAAATATCTGTCCGTCTAGCTTTGAATGAAAAAATTTTATATGTTTGTAATTTCGATCGTGCCCGAAATTTTTATCCTGGTGATATTTTCCCATTCAAAGGGTAAACATTTATCCTTTCTCTTTTAAAATAAACTAAGTATATCGATAAGAAATTATATTTAAGAGCTATCTATACCTCTTACTGAGAATATTTTATATATTATTATAAATAAAATAATATTAATATATTAATTATAAGTAACGTATTTCGGTGTTATGTGATTTCTTATACTTTCATTCGACAAACTTTCCATATTACGGCCAAGTTTAAAATTTAAAGATTTAAAATTTTTATAAAATAATGCATTAATATACAATATGATAAATAAATAGAAATTCATTTTAATAATATTTTATAATTTAGCCTTTAATTCAAATAAACTTGGAAATAGTTTGCAAATAATAATGCATTTGCTGAATAAATTATAAATTAATTTACGATAATCGCGTTCAATCAATTATACATAAATGTAGTTTTTTAATATATAACATTGTTTAAATAGTATCAAAATCACTGGGAATCCGTTACACTCACAAAACATCAAATAAGACGAATATAATATCCATAATACTATCCGAGATCGTATAATATGGGTTGTTTTGAGGTGAAAGATGATATTATATTAGAGAAGGATTACGGAGCACCAGGAGCATCACTTTTGCATAATTAACAATCAATGTTAATATATGACTGGCATTCAAAGCAATACTATATCATAGCAGCGGAAAGAAAAAATCCTAGCCATCCTACAAGTTACATATTGCAGGACTTCGCAAATCCTGTATATGTACTCACTTTCTCCATATCCATTCATATTAAATTTAACATCGCTCCCTCACCCAACGAAACTAAAAAAAATATTATTACTGTATTTTAACAGATGCATTATCAGAGTTTACTATAAACTGTATCTTAATTCATTTTTAATTATATAAACATTTTTTAAAAATTAATCACCTAATTAAATTAATTTAATTAACACATACTTGAAAGAATAAACTGATGCATAAAAATGTATTCTATTTGTTTTACATAACATATATAATATACTTATTCTTTTCAACAAATTGAAAATGCTCATATCTTCAAGTATTTTATTATTTAAAAATAACATTAAAAGTATGGAAATTAGATTATTTACATTTGCATCTCAATCATGACTAAAACATAAAGGTATGATCCAAAAAATATATTTGTTGAAGGAATTTTCAATAAATAGATTTATACCTATTATGAATTAAATATTATAGAATATAAATGTGTAAAATAATTTACACATTTATTCATGATTCTAAAAATTATGAGAATAGTAATTCTTTTCTTAGAGATACAAATTTCGATTGGTTTATAAACTTTTTTTCCTATATTCTTATAATTGAAATGACAATTTGACTTTCGTATATCTTTCAACAAATATATTCGTACAAACCCAATACGCATAATGGGATTTTAGTAATTTCTCATACATTCAAAATTGAAAAGAACTCGAGTACAATTTTTTCTAATGAACTTCAAGGAGAAAGTGAAAACTCTATCATCCTTCACGTTTTATTGGAAAGCTCGCGCATGCGTAATATGTAAGATTTAATGCTTATGGTTTACTTTAATATATAATAATTTTAAACATATTTTAACATAGTCGCAATTAGAATACTAATGGGCGCAATTTTTTTAAAACAGTAATCTTATTAAGGCTTTATTTATAAAGATAGCCGCTTTTAAATATAATTAAGCATATTTATTTCCTTTTATTATCGAAACCGACAAAGACTACATTCAAAGAAAGTTTTTTCTTGTACTGCTATTTACAAAAGCATTGAAATATATAATTTTATAAAATTAAAAAATTTATAAACCACGATGAAAATAAGTTGTTAACAGTGCTTTTATACAAAAAATTATAATATATTATATATATATATATATATATATATATATATATATATATGTAACTTATTGCATAAAGTAGAGTATTATTATTATTATTTTTTGTTATAAAATAATGGTTTTGTTAATTATAAATTAAGAAAGTTAATTCTTATAACTATTTGTTATCAAATACTTAAGTTATTGGATAATTAAATTATTATTTTATCGTAATAAAAATGCAAGCGGTAAACGTAGTAAGATTCTAGGTTATATTGAATCGATTTAAAAATATAAATATAAATTTGAAGATGTGTCCTGCTTTATTGGAAAATGAAGAAAGATGTTTCGGAGGTATGACATTTTTTGCCCGCAGTCATCCTGCTGAGCTTTGCGGCAGTAATGGACTTCCATTAACTCCAAATTCAATAACAATATTAGGAAAATCTCAATTTATGAAAACAATTCAACATCCAAATTTATCAACATATTTAGATATTATTCGTAGCAAGCATGGTAGATTATAATAATCATTTTACTTGTATGTATAACAGTTTTGTATTTAGTGACACCATAAATTTACTATTTACAGAACGAACTATCGTTGTTGCCGAATATAGAGGTGAAGCTCTTGCGACAAAAGAAAATTTATCCAACGATGATATTATTAAAATTGCCTATCAATGTTTAATTGGATTGAAATATATGAATGAATTAGGTTTAGTACATAGTCACCTTAGTCCTGAAAATATTCTTATTAATAAAAATGGTGATGTTCAGCTTTATAATTTTGGATTATATTATATGACTGATCATGGAAAAAATGTTTCATTTCCAATTGGGTATTAAATTATTAATGAACAAAATTTCTTTCTCTCACAGAATTATAGAGAAATTGTTAAAGAAAATTTCTTTTTTATTATACAATTCCACTATATTTAATTTTAGATATCCAAAATATACTGCACCAGAAATTTTTCTTAATAATGGAGTAAGAAGTTTCAAAGTAGATTCATGGTCATTGGGAATGATTATTGCAGAACGTTTGTTGAAATGCACACTATGGCCTGGTGTTAAATTATCACAATGTTTACGAAAAGTTCTTAGTTTAATTCATACTGAAAATAGTGTATTCGAACGATTGTCACGAGAAAATAATTGTTATAGAATTTATGAGGTTTTTATATGACTTTAATGAAAATTGCAATATTCGTATATAATTTCTTTAAAATATATGTATTTTGAGTAAACAGAATCTTCCAGAAGACATCAAAGACTTTGTTAATTCTTGCCTTCAAATTCACACTTCATTACGAAAAGTGCCCGAAGATTTGTTAAGTTTACCAATCTTTGAGAATTTTTTAAAAAAAGATGCAGAAGAAATGGAAGATAAATTGTATAAAAACGTAATAAGTCGAAAAATGGATGAGCTGTATTATTTATGGCAATTAGCAGGTGGAGACATGTTAATGGAATTAAAAAAACAAGGTTTAATACGTTCAAGACCTCCTATTCTATCAATACCAAAGTAACTAATTATAATAATAATATATATATTCATAATTATTTGACAATGAACCATAAAATGTTATTTATTATGACAGTTTAATTATCTTATTGGGCCAAATGTTTGGGCGCCGTGATATAGCAGGGTTGCTAGATCTTCGCGTTATAAAAGTACCTCTTAATACATTGAATCAAAGATTGTCTCATATACTTTATGTCGCTAATTACCCTCGACTCACAAGTGAGTAAGTAAAATTATTTCTTTGATATATCAACATGAAAAAGGAGAATAAGATTTAGAATCAAAACAGAAGTTACTGAAAATTTTCAGTATGCATGTGCAAGCGCAAGATGATTTAACCGAAGCTGCATCACAATTGCCATTAATCATACGAGAAAGAGATACAGAATATCAATTTCATAGAATTGTTTTATATGACAGATTACTTCAAGTATGTATAAAATCCGTATTTTTAACATTTTAATACCGTATTTCTATTTTATTTTAATCAAAACAAATTTATAGATTTATCCAATTACAAAAGATACCATAATTCGAGAAGCACATAAAGATATTCCACCTCCAGTACGAGGTGCAGTTTGGGCGGCATTGCTGAATGTTACTGGAGACATTCAAAAGCGTTATGACATGATTGATAAAGAAACGCCTACTCATACGGATAGGCAAATTGAAGTTGATATTCCAAGATGTCATCAGTATAGTGAGCTTTTATCATCCGGAGCTGGGCACGAAAGACTTCAAAGATTATTAAAAGCATGGGTTAGAGATAATCCACATTATGTGTACTGGCAAGGACTAGATTCGCTTACTGCGCCATTTTTATACTTAAATTTTAATAATGAAGGTAAATTTTTGTTTAATAAATCAACTTATTTTTTTAACACATAATAAAATACTTTTTGTTTTATAGCTCGAGCATTTGCTTGCCTGTCTGCTTTTATACCTAAATATCTTCATAAGTTTTTTTTGAAAGATAACTCAGCTGTTATACAAGAATATTTGGGAAAATTTTCACAAATTATTGCATTTTATGATCCACAATTAGCAAACCATCTTAAATCCATTAATTTTGTTCCAGAATTATTTGCTATTCCTTGGTTCTTAACAATGTTTTCGCGTAAAGTATTTTTCATATTGTAATATGTATATTTAATTTTTCCTTAATTGCACATAAATAATACAACGAATATAATACTTGCATTTCCAGATGTATTCCCTATTCATAAGATTTTACATTTATGGGACAAACTTTTGTTAGGTGATTCGTCTTTTCCACTGTTTGTCGGTCTAGCAATTTTAAAGCAATTAAGAGACTCTTTACTTACATCTGGTTTTAATGAATGTATTCTCCTATTTTCTGATCTACCCGAAATCGACATAGAACTCTGTGTTAAAGACTCGATGTCAATGTATCAGAGAACTCCAGCAAGTATTACATACCGAAGACATCAATTTAATCAATCAAAAGTTTGTATATAATAATGTTTGCGTTTGTCGAAAATTTTTGTACAAGCAGATCGATAACAAAAGTTAATTAAACTAGGCTACTAGTTGGTCAGAACCAGAGCCTGGAACTGAGCGAATGCCAAGAATTAGTGTGGATGATTTCCTGGATTTACTTAATAATACACCTGAAAGAGTTATTATTGTTGATATTCGTAATAACATACAGTAAGACTTTCTATTAAAATAACAATTGAATAAAATCAATTTAACCTTTCAATGAATATTGCCCAACATAGTATTATAATAATACGTAGATAGTAAACGTAAAATGCAAAATAATGAATAAATTCTAGAAATATTAACTAATATTATTAGAGTTTTTAATGAATTCATATTAAATTATATTTTATTGTAATGACAAAAATTTTTAGAAACGTTATAGAAACTATATTAATTTTTGCCCTTACTATAGATTTGAAAGAGGCGCTATTCCAAATAGCATTAATATTCCTTTTACAAGCGTACAACTTGCTCATGTTCAAATTGATACACTTGGGCCACAAGCGAAGCCGCTCACAGATAATAAAGATAGTATCGTTGTCATAATTGGACTCAATGATCAAAATAACGCTCTGGTTTGTAAATATGTTTTATTTAATTAGACGAGCGCGTATTATTTTATACTTCAGTTTTCTATATAGTTTGCAGAGTTTCTTACCAGCTGTCAAGTATTTGGTATTTGTTCATTGCAAGGTGGCATTTATGCATTGCGATCAAAAGCCGCCAATATTTTACATCGCAGTCGTTAAAGTGTCGTTTGAATGTGCCGAGGTTGAAAAGCTTTTATAAAATAATATTGTCTAATATTGGTAAAAATACTACGAATTATTGGTTACACTTATATTGTAATGCTATATTGTGATGAATGGTAATTGTAAAAATTATTTTAATTTATCAATCATTTAATTAAATTGTAAATATCATGTGCAAATAAATTTTTTATATACATTCAAAAATTTGTTCTGTAATTGATAGTTATTATTTGTTGAAGTCCATTGCACATTTAAAGTATTTTAGTTACCATAGTTACAAAATCAAAACAGTAATATATTACATCAGTAGGTAAAAGTAAATAATAATAAAGTTTATAATGTGTTAATTAAATAATAACTTGTTGAGTGTAAGAAAAAAATTACATATTTTTATAATGAACAGCGGTAATATTTCTCCTCAATTTAAAAAGTGGATGAAAAAGTATTTGAATGATAAATTTTCAAATATCATCGATGATAGCTTAGATTCAGAAACAAGTCCAATTGACGTAGCTCAAAAAATTATAAATTCTAATGAAATAACATTGTTGAGAAATTCTATTAAAAGTTCATTTATTGAGCAAATTGAGGCTTCAAGAGAAACTACGAGACGAAATTCTCCCTTGAATTCAACTTTAAATTCCATTTCAAATTCTCCTCCTCAAACATCACTTTCTTATATTAGTGACTTGTCTGGCGATGACTGGTCACTTAAAGAAAACACAGATGAAATTGAACAAATTATCAATCAAATGTGTTGCAATAAGCCGGATCATGTTAGGCTCGCTGGTTATGAAGTTTTACTTGAAAATGAATTAGCTAATATCACAGTAAGTAATTCGTGGGAAGCTCTCCTACAAACTTTAAAAGATGGCCTCATCGATGATAGCAGATCTATCTTTGAAGCCAGTTTATTACTACATTCAAAGCTTTTAAATTGTCCAAATTTTCACTGTGTCTTTATGAATTTACTTAATGCTTTTACAGAACAGTATTACTCAAAAAAAATGTTCGATACCCTACCCACTATACTAAGTGGAGTGAACTTTAAAATATTTTTACATGAAAAGCTTTTCAGACTTATGAAATTAATTTTGGATCAACAAGAAGAATTCTTGAAGGGGATGAGAATAAATGATAAAGCTATCGACGATATGATAGATCATTTTGTATCATTTTTATGCTCACGCTCAGCCACAAATGCAACTCAGCTAAAGCCTTTAAACACATTACAAATAGTATCGGTTATTGAACCTCAAGCTAGTTGGAGCAAGAAATGGATGTATAGCTTAATAACCAGAAAAATATTGTGCACCGCCATTTCTAAATCACCTGATTTAATTAAGAGCGCAATAGAACACGTTAAAAGGGGCTTCGACAATCCGCCAACTGGAATTTCAGTGACTATTTCCGATGAACAATCAGACGTTTTTATATCGGGTGATTCGGTGGAAACACTCACCTTCTTGCATTGCTTAAATTTACTAGCTCACCTGTGTAGCTATTCCACAGGACGAGATTTACTTTTAGATGTACAAACAGATGATTCATTCTGCATACCAGATTTTTTAAAAGCTTTGCTAGATTTTTTAAATATTCTAGCTTCTTCAGAAGCATCAAATAGTATTTACGAGACAGTGCGCACTGCACTGTGTGAATTATTGAGAAAGCCAGTTGTACTTTATGATGCTAGATTTTATCAAGTAGCTCTAAGCCCACTTGTACAGACGGAAGTGAAAATGTGGCCACACACCCTGGATATCTTAAATCACATGTTGGATACATCGGATGGTCCGACATTTTTAACAACCGAGTATAGAGCTTGTTCGTCGCCTTTAAAGAAGAAAAATTCAGCAAATTATCCGATTACAATTATTCTCACATATGCTTCCAGTCTGTTGAGGCAACCTATTTCTGTGATAAATGTTGAACATATTACTGACTTGCTCAAATTTGTTGGCAAACTGTTTAATATCTCAGATGTTTTTAGCATCATTAGGGGAATTGTTAAAGAACATTTTTATCCGAGTGTTTCGTATATGTACAGTAAATTGGACAGATATTACATAGAAAATGAAAGAAAAACACAACATCTCGATAGGTGAGACTGTAATTCTCAAATTATTTTTGCATTTAATAACATTAATAACATGATAATAATTTTGGAGCTATCGATAGTTATTTTATTTTCTATGTTGATAAATTTCTTAATCATCGCAATTTATAACATTTATCTGGTAATTTATAAAATAAGAATCTTTATTTATTTATATATTTCTTATAGATCTATTAAGGAAATGTTACTAAACTTATTGTCCTTGCCCTTGGGCCTTCAGATGCTGTCTAATGAACCATTAATAATCAAAGAATTAATTCGAGGATCAATATCTTCAGTTCGAACATTATGGAGTGACTTTAATGTAATCGGATTCATATCAAATTCTGGTTTCTTGACTTGCGGTATAGAGACATTATTCGATCTTTCATCGCACGTTTTGACAACATTATTCATCGACCTTACGAGCATTTTGGAAGATCCACATTTATTCTATGATCCATGGGAAAACGCCAACATCAAAGTCTTTCTTCATGTGCTTGCTTTATTTTCTTTAAACACGAATTGTAATTAATTGATTATCTATACTACAACGTCAGAAGCAATATTCCAATATCCTCAAATAGTATATATATATATATATTTTTTTTCTCTCTTTCTTTCAATTGTTTACAAATTGTCTTCTTAGTTAGCTTTTTACTCTAAATAATGAAATGTACACTACTAACAAAAGGCAATTAATCTAGCTAGTATTTATGAACAAACATAAACATTTATCATTTGTAAATATCTAGTGATATAAATTGCATATAAAATAATGATTAATAATTTTTTTTTTTTAATTATTAACAATTTCATAACGAAATGTTGATTTTATTCACATAGAAAATATATATATGATACTATGATATTACTTTAACGTCGAAATCCTATAAATTCACAATAAATTAAGCTTTTTTTTAATCGTTAATTTTTAATTATTAAAGTTCAGTTAATACAGTAGGATACATCATGCGATTGATTCACTGCTATTTAATCCCATAAACAACATGCCAAATCTGTATTATTGAACATATCTCATTATCATGTATTATATATTTAGGTTTTATGGTTTTTATGAGAAGTGATAATGGAAATAAAGAAGAAAAGGAAAATAAACATCCATCGAATCTTTATGAATTCTTTCAAAATATTATAAATGTTGATTCGTCGTATCATCACCTTGGACTGCTAACGCTCAAAAATATACTTTGGAATTTAGATATTTATATTTATTTACTAAGTTTACTAGATTTTCAGGTAAAATATTTTATAACTTATTGTATGAATTTAACTTTAATTTTACATTTAAGAATATTTACTTTGTAATCATTCAATATTTAAAGCTCTTAAATGTTTATAAAACCTGGAGTGCTGTATTGCTGTTCAAAAAAGTGTAATTTTATTATTCAATATAAATAAATATTTACGTTATATCTTAATAAATTATATTAAATTAAATTTTAATATAAATATTCCAAGACATCTTTTTATAATTTTTCAATTGTAAGTTTAATATTTAAAATATATATATATATATATGGCCGTTGAATACGGCTATTGCAAAATTTTAATTTACCATTCGATATTACATATCAATTACCTATAATACTGTTACTGATAATAATTTTTTTCAGAATAAATTTTTAGAATTTCAAGATTATGAAATTTGTACAAACGAAGATAATCAAGAACAAAATAGTGCATATATTATTGATGAAAATAGTTCGCTTCGACATACGATTTTATTAAATTGTTATTTTATAGATCATAAACTAAAGACATATCAATCAAGTCCCGAAAAATTTTGTTTATTTTCAAAGTTACCCCCTCCAGAAGGAATTGATGAACTTGTTTCACAAAAATACTCGCAGTCGGAATTAATGAACTGGTTACAAGAAAGTAAATCCGCCTTGAAAGATAATAATTGGATATTACAAACTCAGAAAGCTCATAAAGCTTCTGCAAATCCTATAGAGGTATTGTTATTATCACTAAACTAATTTAATCCAAATTATACATATATTTATAGAAATTAAAGAAATTATATGTCAATTTTTTCTTTCCTTACATAGTAAATATTATTAATGCATAATGATTTAAATAGTACAAACTATCTTTTACTTATAAATATATTTCTACTTATTTCTATAAAGCTCGGTAGAAAGATAGATTCAAAATATAAAAAATTTAATACTTAATAGTAAGTCGTCTATCTAAACTAACAATCGTAAAAATTATATAGAACACGTAAGTTATATGATAAGAAAAATTTAAACAATTTAAGAGTTTATATTTAAGTAGAAAGATCAAATATCTCTTTATGAATACTATGAGAGGAAATAAATGATTATTTAAACTTTGGAAAGTATATTTAGACTGAATCGCATACATTCTTTACACCATTTCAACTAAAATAAATAAAAAATCACTTATCGCACTAAAAACTATGTATTCTTCAACTAACCAATAATACTTATTTCAATTAATGGTATATATCGTGTAATTAGAAATAAATTACTCACATGGTCACCTAAAAATAGAGTCAATTGATCGATGTAATAATTTACAATACAAAGATTATTGTTCCTCTTATTTATGAAAATCCTTTAAATCAATTTATGGCATTTATCAATCGCTTTATACAATTAATGACTAAACGTATATTTGGGCATAATAAAATATTATTATGAGTTATTTTACGATTTAACAATAAACTTTATACTGTATACTGATAGCTTATAGCTACTTATTTAACAATAATTAATTTTAAATCTGTTTTAACGTAGGAAGATTGTGCCCTATATTATGTATAATATAAGAACATAAATTATATTTATACAAAACATATGTGAAACATAAAATATATTACTCTTTTGCAAAAACAGCATATATTTGAGTGCTGTATACCTTATACAACTTATTTGATCCGAATAATACATTTAATGAAATGAACCACAGTGGTGATAAATCTAAATAAAACATAATATTAAATTTACTATGAAAAGAATTTTTTTATAAAATCATTACTCCAACAATGAAAGTATAAAGTGCACATAAAAAAACGTTTTAATTCGATTTATAAACAAACTTATTTATACAGATCTTGTGTAATATGTAAAAAACATGACAATTTTCACAGATAATATAATATACTTACTATTTAAATATGTCAATGGGTATCGACAACAATTAAATAATCTGCGGAAAGATATTCGAAATTATAATACTTTATTAAATAAATGTTTATATCTCTAGAAATATATATATATTAATAAATATAAATCTGCTTAGTTCAATCATAAATAATTTAGTATAAAAGAATATTTATAATAGATGGCAACCAATCAACATTTTACTATAATAAATATTAATTTGATCGACTAATGGTATTAAAAGTATTTTAAATTAACATAAATATAAAACAAAATAATTAATTGATGCAGACATTATATTACATTCAAATTTATAAAAAATAAAAAATAAAAAATAAAAAAAAATTAATTATAGACAATGTAGGTGAGATAAAACTATGTGCATGTGCAGTCTATATTGACACATAAATATAAAATTATAAACTTCGTTAGCTATTGATTCAGCAACTACGATAACATCAAGTCCCATTTCATTTTTCATAAATTATAATAACATACGTCACAAGTTTTTTAAACAAATTAATCTTTTAAAATGATATGAATGAATTTTAGGGTATAAAATTCTTATAACTTTTGAATTTATTAAGTCTGTAATTTGAAAAAAAATACTTATAATTACATTATATTGTGAAAAATATAAGCTTGGGATGTAAAAAATTAACATTTCAAGCAAATTTATTGTTTAATTTTTTTTTTTTTTTTTTTTTTACTTTAAATAAACTTAACATATTTTTAATATCACGACAAAAATATTTACGTTTAATAACTTAAAATAAAAATTATTTATAAATATTATTAATTTAGTGATAAATATAATTTGACATTTTTTTAATTATTTTTTTTTTTTTTTTAATATAAGAAGGTTGATTTATATTTAATTCTTACAAGTTTTTTAAAATTAAAATTAAAATAATCATATTAAGCATTTTAAATATTTTTCAGATTAGATTAGTTTTTACTTTGCATAATTTTAATTTAGTATTAAATTATATACAACCGTACTTCTGCTTCGCGGTAAAGGTATACGTATTTTTCTCTTTTACAGAACTTGGTATTTCTAGATTTACTAGATCAAATGGAACAAACTATGTCAATAGTAGAGGGATTAGATCAATTCAAATGGAATTTAAATTTGCAATACAACGACAGTTATTGGTTTCCAGAAGAAGAATGCGGAATCAATTTAGTACTACATTACGGTCTAATTAATGGCTTATTACAAAATAATGAACAAATCGAACAAAATTTAAAAATATTTATTTATGCAACGCATGAGTTTATAAATTATAAAAAATCAACATATTTTAATGGGTTCGATTGGTTTTTAGCCACTGTTTTTCTCATATGCGGTGGCAATATTGAGAAGTTAGTATTCTCTTCTGCTTAAATACTAATATGCGTCCAGTTAATTAGAATATTTGCAAACATTCATTACTTTTAACATGAATTTTCATAAATGACGTTACCTCAGTTAGTTGCGAATCCACTTTTACGTAATGTAAATGATAATTTAATTAACGAATCATCAAGTACATACATTTAATATATATTTTTATTAAATAATAAAACTATAAATATTATTTTGTATGTAAGGACAATATGCTAATTAAATTAACTTTAGAATTACATTTTAAAGGACTCGAGCTAACTAAACATCATCATTGGCAGTCTCAGATTGAAAACTTGTTAGTCATAGTAGCAACAATGTTACATTTAACTCGGAAGTTTATTATCATCACAGACAATTAAAAATATACAAATTTTAAAATGTTCGTGCATACGACTAATCACATCTTTTCATTAATTTAGATCAAAGATATTTGTATCCCAAATGCTACGCTTTCCAACGACGACATTCATCTGGTTTAATTTAGCACAAGTTATCGATGAGAATAATCATCAAGAAGCTTCTACAAAGCTTTTGTTTGCTCATCTTCTTGATAATATCATTAGTCATGAATTTCCAATGACAAAATTTGCGTTGAAAGTACGTTTTTAAAAAAAAAAATTCACATACAAATTATTAAAATATAAAAGCATAATTGTTTATAAACCTTTTCCATAGATATTTCGCTTTTTTAAATTTGAGGAAATTTTTTTCTCTTATAAAATGGTTTCATCATTTTCATACAAATTAAATATACTATTCCGACATATCCTGATATAATAAATAAGGTCGTGAAAAATTTTCGTTCGAATTTAATTTCAAAATTAATTAATCATTTTAAATTAAAAATAGTTTTAAAGAAAAGGAAAAACGTTGGTTAGAAATATAATTTAATAGAATTATAATTAATTTCAATATATCTTTATCTTTTTGTTATTCACTCTTATATTTTTCATTATAAATTTGAATATATAAATTTATTATAACTTGTCGCAATTTAAGAGAAAAAAAAAATTAATATCGATTAGCTGATTCATGGAATTAAAATTGTTAATTAAAATAATAATTTATGAAAGAGAAATATTGATGATTCTAATAACAAAGCCTGTGTTTTTTCAACAACTTTTTTCATTTAAATTTTAAATATCGTAAATATTCATCTATATTTGTTATGAAAAAAATTAATCATTCGTGAATTTAATTTTAGAATGAATGTGGACTTGATTGGTGGATGCTTTGCGATAGACTAATGACACAATGTTTTTGGGGAATTCTTCCGTGGAATGAAATTATACATTATTTTGCTATTTGTATATTGCATCCACCAGATTATGTAATATATTATTGTGCATCCTTATTAAATTATTGCGAAAGTAATATAAGAAATAACATTGTAAAAGGAAAAATGTGTCCAGAAGATATGGTAAGCAATGTATTATAAAGTTGTTAAAAAAATTTCTTACTATTTGACAATTTAATGTTTCAATTTATAAAGATTTTTGAAGACTACCGTTGTCATAGTCAAATGGGATTTATGGATCGCTTAGGAAAAACATATGGAGACAAAGTTCTTCCGTTATTAATGCAACGAAAAATTAACCTTGAAGACAATCTAAAATGAATATATTTTTAAAATCTCTTATTTAATTCTTTAATTGCAAGTTTTGATGAAAACAAATGATAAAATGCTGTGAGATGTCATAAAACAACTATAATTGTTATTTTTATATAATGAAATATAAATGCTTATCTAAAAGATTACGCTACTTTTGAATTTTATTTGTGCCTAAAACACATTTTGTTTATATAAATATATTTTGAAAATACATAAATCGTTCAAATTTGTTTATATATATATATATATATATATATATATATATATATATATATATTAATATTACTCTAGGCGATATAAATACTAATATTATTAATGTTCTTCAAAATTGAAAAGTGAAGCACAGGAAACTGAAAGAAGCACTGGTTTCGTAATGACTTTTTATAGAGATCTTCATAATATACAATACTGAAGTTATGTTGATAAAAAATTTTAATTTAAAGCGTTTAAAGTTTAAATAACATTTAAACATTATATGTAAACAAATAATTTGTTTTTTAGCAATTAATTTTTTTATTTTCTGCTAAAATTCACAATACCACGATTAGCAGTTAAAATAAATGCAATTTTTTCATACTATAAGCAATTGATACTTCTTGAAAATTTACCAAGAATTCAATGTCAATCAGAATAAGATGTAAGAAATTGGAATAGTGGTACAAATACAGATTAAGTCTTTCAACTTAATCAAAAGTATTTTCATATATATACAAAACAATAATGTTACGAAAACATATTTAAATATTTTAATTCTTTAATCTTCGTGAATGGTAAAAAGCTTAACGACTTCATTTAATTCATCGCTCTTTGTTTCTCTTGCAAGTACCTATTTACAAAAATAACTTATATTATTATTATACATTGTAAATATATTCACCATTCAATATTTTATTATAGAGATATTATTACTTTACTTTTATTACTTATAGAGGAGTAAAAGTTTTCATAATGATCGATCAATATTAAAATTCTATTTACCTGTCTAGCAATTGACATGCGATTAAAAATATTCCACAAGACAATGCCTACAACAGTATCATTCCGCAAATAAAAGATAACGCCTTTTCCATAATCATCTTCTGCTGATTCGTGTTCTTCTTTCACATTCTGCCCATCTGAATATACTTCATTACGTTGTACCAAAACATTGTTTGTATTTTTTACTTCTTTTTTATTTACTTTTAACTGTAAAAAATATAACAATTATATTGCAAGGACTCGGAGCTTATTATGATAAATTTTATATTTACGGTTTTTTAAAAGTAATTTTTCATGAAAATTAAATGCTTTTATAGTGTAAAATAATTAAAATTAAAGTTGTTATCACATATTTTATTATATTTTATTCATACTGTTTTAGTACAATTATGTGATTCTAATCCGAATTTCAAGATATCTCAAACTAAATTAATTAAAATAATTTTAATTTTACATGACTTGACATATTTATTCAGTGATATTAATAATAAATTTGTAATAAGATATTTTCATAAATAATTTTGAAATAAAATTAATATTTTTAATTAATATTATACAAACGTTTTTCTTTGATACAATAGCTAAACTGGTTTATACTTAATCTAAGTTTCAATTATTATTACAATTTTAAAACTAGACCCGATTTAAATCTTTGTATGATGATTTATAATTTGGCAATATTTTCAAAAATTTTCAAAATTTATTTAAATTACATATAAATGTAAATTACGATATTAAATGCATTAACGATGATTTTAATAAATTTTCTAAAAATTCAAAACTATACAGACCTTTACATTTTCATCAGCAGCCACTGGGAGTAATTTGGTTTCAGGCTTTGGTGCTTTAGCAAATACTCCAACAGTTTCTAAATTTGAATCAATGATTCCAATAGCTTCAAATCCAATTTCTTGTCCAAGGTCACACCACAGCATTGATTGATACAGATACGGTTTGCCTGCACCGACCATGTTTTCACCAGCTACTTTTCCTGATATAACCGCATTATCGTGATGTTCTATTCTTCTTCTGCCTAATTTAACATCATAAAAGCACGCAGCATCACCTGCTACCCACAAATTACTTCTGGCCTCTAATTCAGCATTAACTAAGAAGCCACCTTGTTCAGAATCAACTTCCAAATTAGATTCCTTAGCTAAGGCCGTATTTGCTTGTACACCTATTGCTACTACAATTTGATCAACTTCGATCTATAAAAAAAAAATTATTTAAATTATAAATTAGTAAAATAAAGTAATTAATTCCAAAATATATTTTGTAAAATACAATATAAACAATAATTCAATATAAATATACTTAAATGAATTATGTTATACTTACAACATTACCATTCGTGAGCATAACTGACAGTCGACCATTTTTCATTCGGCAATCATGAACTTCAAGATTAGGCACACATTTCACACCATCAGCTTCTATATGCTCAGTAGCCCATTTACTTAAATATTCAGGTAAAACTTGTGATAATATATATTTTTCTTTAAAAACTTGATACACATTTTTGTTATTAGACGTAACTGTCAATACAAAATTTTGATTAAATGGAGAAGTTTAATGGATGGAAGTTAAATGAATTAAATAAAGAAGAACAATTCTTATATTAATTAATAAAACTTACGATTTCGCACTAGAGAAGTCGATAGCTCTGATCCTAGAAAACCTCCCCCAATAACAAGTATATCCTTAACATCAGGTTTTTTAACATTATACATTAATTCTAAAAAATCGTCTTTTGTTCTGAATAGAATAATTTTTTCTTTAATCTCTTCGCTCATTGAATCAAATAAAGATAAATTTTTGGGTGATGCACCTGTTCATTAAAAATTATCAAATGCATGTCTACCATTAGTAACGAATCAAATTATTAGAGCATTTATAAATAAAGGCTCACCAGTTGCAATTAAACATTTGTCATATTTAATTTCGTAATCGTCTTGTAAATAAGCAACTCTATTAGTAGCATCGATTTTTTTCACATCCCAACCAGTTACCACTGCTACACCACCTTTCTCTGACTTTTCTAAATCATTAACTTTCATATAATATTCAGGAGGTTCGTAATATAAACTAATAGAAAAAATGATTAACATATATTATTATACAACATGATTATTAAAATACAAATAAATTATTTAATTTAAATATAATAATTCATTTACATAGTTTGATTACCTTCTTTTTGATCCATTCCATTGCTTAAATATTAATTTAGATATTAAAGTTTCATCTTTGTTGTACCAAATTTCTTTGGATAATGGAGGCCTCATATAAGGTAAATCTCCTTCATTAGTTATCATTAATACCTACATGAATTTATTAATAAGTATCATTAAGTATAAGGTATTAATTATTATGAATATTATTTTGAATAATTACTAAATTGAACAAAAAATTCATATTACCTTGGCTGTAGGGTCATTAGCTTTAATTGAGCGAAATGCTGAAAATGCAGCTGTACCAGCTCCTACCACCAAATATGGTACCTCTTTTGGTATGGAACAGGAAGATGAAGGATTTTGTATTTTTTCCCTTTTAATCTTATTAAATACGAACGACTCTATAAATACAAATTAATTTCAATTGTATTTATGAATATTTATGAATATTTATGAATTTAAACATAATTAAACATTACAAAATACTTTAGAGTACATACTTTTGCGCTTTTTACTTTTATTATCTGTTTGAAGAAACAGAACCTATAAATAAAATATGTCATTATACATTAATTAATAAAATAAATAAGTAATATGTAATATTCATTACGTAATTCTTATTTATTTAATTTTTCATACATTCTCGCTTTTCTTTAAAAATTATTCTAACATCATTGTTAAGAATGAAAATATTTACATATGATAAAAGTCCTGCTGACAACAATGCAGGTACCCATATATACCAAGTCGCCCAACACCTTTGCCAAAAACCTTTGCCTCCTGAATCGTCACATTTATTTTTTTCGCATATTGGAGGAAACTCAGGTAATGGAGGACATGGTTTGTCTTCGCATAATGGTCGAGAATGGTTCTTAGATTGTGTTGTTTCTGAATATAAAGGTGGTGAAGATCCCTGTAATGGATTTGATGCTGACAATGTTGGCAACGGAGTAACATTTTTAATTTTATTTGCTTTTGGAACACATTCCTCAACAGAAGCAGTTACTCCAGGTTTACTTTTATCACCTTTATTGCTGTACTTTAGGTAATTTATATTAACAAAATCTAAAAAATTATATATGAATTAATATACATATATATATATATATATATATATATATATATATATATATATACAAGTATAAATCATTATTTGAAATAAAAGTAAAATTTGAATTCCGAAGAAATAGTCATATTCTGTAAATTGTATACTTGTAAAAAATCAATCAATTTTATTATAAAAAAAATAAAAATTCACTAGCTAATGAAAAAAATATTCTTCATTGCAATATATCCTTATTAATAATAAGTAAGCAAAAAAAAAAAAATATTTTCTTTTATCTAGACAGACAATAATAGAAACTACAAATTACAAAAATAACTTGTAATTTAAGATTTATTAATATAAATAAAACAATGTTTTGTTGATAGCGTTTTAAATCGAATGTAATCAATTATATTCTAAACGGATTCATTCAAAATACTTATTCAAGCAATATACTTATTCAAGTTAAAACACATTAGAAAGTAAATATTCTTATAGTAATTTCAAATATTTTATTTTTGTATTCATAAATTAATTAGCGAGATTTAGGTTATACTTCCCAATTCAAACTTCAGACACGCGGTATATTTTTTTCATATAAAATGAAAACTTTAACATTGTAAAATTGCACGAATAAAATGATATAAAAGCCCTTAATCAACGTCTAATGTAAGCAATTTTTATAATAAACTAGTAAAAAATGGCAAATCATAGGATGCATAAAGTGTGCGAGAAGATCGCAAACGTGGCCGGGGTTTTTTATTCAACTTTTGAAATTTCTTTTAAAAATAAAAAGTATTAATTACCATAGGCTTTTAAAGGCTTCGAGAGATTCTTAATGTACGTGTGGCTAGTTATTCTCGAAAACTGCCCGGAGACACAGCCATAACTCAACATTTTAACCCATCAACTATAATGTTACATACGCTTACACACGAAGTATTACCGTTTACACAGTACAATGTTCTGTGTGTGCGTGCATTATCTTGTAAAAACAGAAATTGCATTGGCGATATGTAGGATGTATAGATTGCACTCTATGGGAAACAATTATTGAATATGATAAAAATATCTGTAAAATCCTTTTTTCTTCCAAAAATTACGACAAACATGTATCAAATATTTACTTTTGATTTTTCCTAATAAAATTATTCTTTTTTCATTATTCTATTAATTTTTTTGAATATTCATATATTTGAATAACTTTATTTTAATTTTGCTTAAGAAAAAAAATAAGGCATATATATATATATATATATATATATATATATATATATAGAATATATATAGATCAATGTATATTATTTATATAAATATATAAATTTATATTATTATTATATGAATAATAATAACAAATTTTATAAAAAGTATAAAAATAAAGAATACAGAGATTATATATAAACATAGTTAAACCATTGTTAATATATATACATATATCTTAATAAAAATATTTTTGTCAATTCCTTGTAACTTTTAATTCTTCGTTAATTTTTAATATCTGATATGAGATTGTTAGGTTAAATTTTTTTTTTCTTTTTTGTATTATTGAAATTTCAATCGTCAATTTAGTAATGAAATGATAACGTTTATACGAACAAGCTAAAATCTTCTATTTTCATTCATTTGTATAATAATCGGTTTGAATTTTTAATTTTGTTACGTTGTTTTTTTTTTACTTCCTTACTCTTAATATTAGAATTTAGCTCTAAGTAATTTGTTCTTATATAATCATGGTTTGCATTTCTTATCTTAAATTATAATCAATTATTTATTACCTATTTGCATATATATATATATATGTAGATTAGATTTTATATTATAACAAATAGATTTTGTTTCATTCCCATAAAATTTAATTAATCGCAACTGGTGAATAATAAGAATATTGATGAAGAATTATAAATATTTTCCTATTTTACATCTATAACTTATATGAATATTTGATATGGTAATAATCAATAAAAAATAATTTTCATTAAATCCCTCGCTGTGTAAATTTAAATTTAGTGCGCATATTTGCAATTAGCTTTGGCCTTGAAATTTAAATATTGCTTGAAAGTTTGAATCTAATCGAATATATAAGCATAAGCTGATACTTAAATCATACATTTCGTAAATTTCAAATAGGTTAGTTATACCATTAAAAACACCATAAATAACAAACATTAGAAATGGCAAACAAAAAACAGTAAGTAAATAATGTAAAATATATATTAATTTTAATAATGAAGTGAACTATTTGTACGCATCTAGAACTATTATTGAGAAAAATTCAATCAACACTTTTATATCTAATGCATATACAATTTTATGGTTTAATTGATTTATTAAATATTGCACGTATTATATAGAGTTTAAACTTATAAGTATATTTTAAAAAAAATATTCTCATATTCAAAAAAGTATATAAACCATATACTATAAGATATAATTATATGATAATTATAAGAAATAATTCTTGTAATTATGAACATTTTTATTATACCAATATAATACCAAATATATCATAATATTTATCCCAAAAAAGATATCACTGTATTGTTATTTTAGATATGGGCTTATATTACCAAAGAAAAATCAATTATCTACTCCTAAAGCAGGAAATGTTTTTGGTAATGATGATGAATCTGAAGAAGAAGAAGGAACTGATTGGGTAAAAAAAGCTCTAAAGGTAGAAAATGAAAGAAATAAAATAAAGAAGCAAACCAAATTAAATATGCAGAAAGCGTTAAGAGAAAATCCAACGATATTTCAATACGATGAAGTTTATGATGAGATTGAACGTACAAAGGAAGAAGATAAATGTGTTAAAAATGTAAAGCAAAAAGCAAAATATATAGACAATTTATTAAAAAGTGCAGATCTTAGAAAAAAAGAACAAGAATTACGTAAAGATAGAATGATTCAAAAAGAAATTGAAGCTGAAGATGCTATATTTCCTGATAAAGAAAGATATGTGACGTCAAGTTATAAAGCAAAATTAGAAGAAATGAAGAAGTTCGAGGAAGAAAGAAAAAATCAAGATAGATTAGAAGCTATAGCAGATGTAACAAAGCAAAGTGATATGTCTGGATTTTATAGACATTTGTATAGGCAAACTGTGAATAGAAATAATTCTGATTTAGGAATTGTTTCTAAAGAAGAGAAATCAAAAAATAAAAATAATATTGTTACAAAAATTATACGTGAAAGTGATAAGGATGATTCCATTGATTCAAATTCTGAATCAGAAGAAAGCAGTAAATCTGATATTGAAAATTCCAAAGATACACCAAAATCCACCGTTATAATAAAAAAGAAAAATAAACGACAGTATAGAAAAAGAGCTGATGATACCTCAGAACCTGAATCTGAACAGGAGTTGGAAAAAAAAGAAAACAATGAAATTGATCAACTAAAATTGGAGGAAATAAAAGGCAATAAAATTGAGAAAAATGTTAAAAAACAGAAATTGCTTGATGAAGGTGACACTAAAATAAATGAAGAAAATAGTAAACCAATGAAAGATGAAACTTTAAAAGAAAGAGCTGAAAATTCAGAAAAACATGATGAAGATTCTACAATTAAAAATAGGATTGTGGCAATAGAAGAAAAAAAATCCCAGCCAGAGGTACAGAAAAGAATAAATATTTGGGCAAAAAGAACTATTGGTAAGGCTTTTGATGATGCCTTACAAAAATATCTTATAAGAAAACAAGAACGATTAGCAGGATCGTACTAAAATACATTGACTTGTTATAAATTATATTACTTTTGTTTAATATACAAAAAATTATATCATTTCGGAAAATAACAAAAACAATTGTGCATCCTTAAAAAAGTTAGTCTGTAAAAATGATAATTTTCAAACATTCATATACAAAATCTATTTATTTAACATGAATTATAACCTATAATTAATATAGTTGTATGCAAGAACAATTATATATAGAAACTAACTTTTATTTTGTAAATAAATTACATTTAATTTTAGTCTACTATAATGTATTCTGTATATAAATTAATTCCTTCTAAAAGTTGTTAAATGAAAATATTGCAATGAAAATATTAGTTCATATATATACACACACAAACGCACGCATATATATATATATATATATATATATATATATAATTTATACATTAAACCTTTATTATTGAGTATGATATATAATAATGAAAATGTAATACTTATTCATAAAACAACACATACTGCAGTAAAATTTTTATTAAAAATATTGTAATTTAGCTTAGTTCAACAAATATCAATTATAAATGATAAAATTCTCCACTGCGACTTCAATTTTCAACATATTCAACAGTTTTATCCAGAAAATTATCTGACGTTAATTACTTTGATAGCAAATATTGTTAACTCATTCCAATTTAATTTGTATGGCTTTGCTTCTATTTTTTTTTACGGCAATTCTCTAAAAATTAATTTTAATTATAATTAAGCATACTCTAAATAATTGCTTTAAACTGAATTGTAGCACTTGCCATTTTCTGTTTCTGGTTCTGGTTCTGGTTCTGGTGGCATTGGTTCTGATTTTTGTGATTCATTCAATGCTCTAAAAATGAATTTTAATTGTAGATGAACATACTTTAAATAATTACTTTAAACCGAATTATTACACCTGCCTTAGTCGTTTCTTATAAGAAATATCATTTATAAGGATAAATATCTACAAACAAAAATATATTTATTACATATTACTTATTTATTTTATTTTCTAATCATTACAATTTCTGTAATAATTTTGGTAAGATTATTATCATTTTTATTATTTTAGATATGTATAGTGAATAAAAATGTTTAATGTTGTAGCTACCGTGAGTAAGATCAAATAATCCGGTATCTCAGGGCGAGCATTTTTTTTATTACTTTGACATTTCAAATCATCATCCACGTTACAACTCATAAGTTGTGAATATGTTGTTATTTCACATGATGGTTGAAAGTAGCTTAAAGATTTCTTGATTTCTAAATGTAATAATGAGGATAATCCATGAAATGGATATACTGTTTGCGATTGTGGCAAAGAATGAAAATTTGTAATTGTATTTGATTTTGGAATATAGTCTTGGATATAAGCCGTTACACCAGTATGATTTTTTGCAAAGCCATTTGTAATAATAAAATCTGAAATTTATGTAGACATAGTTCTGTATGTAGGTAATATTTAGGTAATATGTCGGTAGAAAATTTTTAATAAATAAAACAACAAACATTTTTTAATAATATAAAGAATAGTTTTATTATATAGTACATTAAAGAAATATAGTTATATTCTGGAATTGCGTATTTGCAAAAAACCAATATAATTAATTTGTAAACAAAATATGAAAATTCATAAGCTAATATAAACAATATTTTGCATCGTAATATATCCTTATCTATTATATTGATTATTAAATTAAATATATTAATAATATTAATAAGTAAGTAAAAGAAAAAATATTTTCCTTCATCTATACAGGCGATAATATAAACAATAAATTACAAAAACAACTGCTGGAATTCAAGATTTTTTAACATAAATAAAAACAATTCTTTCTTGATAGCGTTTTAAATCCAATATAATCAATTATATTCTTGACGGATTAATTCAAAATATTTACTTAATGTTTCTCATAAAATACATTTGAACTTAATATGTAATTGAACATTTTTTAAATAATGTATAATTTTTAATTTTGTATTATTAAATAGCGGAATGAAGGTTACGGCTACCAATGTAAACTTCAAATCAACATATCATTTTTCACATAAAAAGAACTTTCCCATTGTAAAATTGCATTAATCATATAATATAAAACTTTTTAATTAATATCTAATGTAAGCTATTTTTATAATAGACTAATATAAATTGGCAAATCGTAGTATGCATAAAGTACGCGAGAAGATCGTTAATGAAGCCGATCAATTTAAACAATTTTCAACTTGAAAAATCTTTTAAAAATATAAAAAATTTGTTACCATTGGCCTTTGGAATTATGGGAAATTTCTTAAAATACGTATAGCTTGTTATTCTTGAAAATTGTCCCTTTAAATAACCATTATGAAACATTTTGTCCGATCAAAATTTACAATGTTAATTGTAATTTTAGATTTATGTTCGAGTTACATTTGTTTTTAACATAATATAATATAATCTATATATATATATATATATATATATATATATATATGTGTGTGTGAAAAATTTTCATAATGCACGAAAACAAATTTAAATTCAATAATATTAATAAGTAAATTTAATAAAAATGCTTAGGATTTTAAAGAGAAACGTTAATTCGGAAAATTGTTAAATTAATTAAAATATAGATTTAAATTTATATGTTAATATACATAATAAATATATAAGTGGAAACTTAACATATGTAGTATATAGTAATGGAAAGGAAATTTTTATTCAATTCAAACTCGCAGGTACTATAGCAAAATTTTTATTAAAACAAAAACACTGGAAATAAAACAGGTTGCGTTAGGAATATTGTGGTTTCATTTAGTATCGACTAATATCAACATTGTAATTCGCATGATAAAAGTTTGGTTTTTATAATGAAGTTATACTTTTAACTTCTGATCCAATCATTAAATTTAATTTAATTAATTTAGTGAGAAAATCGTCAGACCTCATTTCTTATGTAGAAAATATTTGTTTGGTAAAGTTATATTATAATTTTATTCATTTCGTGTATGTGTAAGGGAGCCTGCTTGTTTCCTTTATGTCACATAGGTAATATATTCAAATACACATTATATATTTTTAATCCGTATTCCCCGGTGCTGATTTGTATGGCTTTGCTTCTATTTTTTTTTACAGCAACTCTCTAAAAATTAATTTTAATTATAATTAAGCATACTCTAAATAATTGCTTTAAACTGAATTGTAGCACTTGCCATTTTCTGTTTCTGGTTCTGGTTCTGGTTCTGGTGGCATTGGTTCTGATTTTTGTGATTCATTCAATGCTCTAAAAATGAATTTTAATTGTAGATGAACATACTTTAAATAATTACTTTAAACCGAATTATTACACCTGCCTTAGTCGTTTCTTATAAGAAATATCATTTATAAGGATAAATATCTACAAACAAAAATATATTTATTACATATTACTTATTTATTTTATTTTCTAATCATTACAATTTCTGTAATAATTTTGGTAAGATTATTATCATTTTTATTATTTTAGATATGTATAGTGAATAAAAATGTTTAATGTTGTAGCTACCGTGAGTAAGATCAAATAATCCGGTATCTCAGGGCGAGCATTTTTTTTATTACTTTGACATTTCAAATCATCATCCACGTTACAACTCATAAGTTGTGAATATGTTGTTATTTCACATGATGGTTGAAAGTAGCTTAAAGATTTCTTGATTTCTAAATGTAATAATGAGGATAATCCATGAAATGGATATACTGTTTGCGATTGTGGCAAAGAATGAAAATTTGTAATTGTATTTGATTTTGGAATATAGTCTTGGATATAAGCCGTTACACCAGTATGATTTTTTGCAAAGCCATTTGTAATAATAAAATCTGAAATTTATGTAGACATAGTTCTGTATGTAGGTAATATTTAGGTAATATGTCGGTAGAAAATTTTTAATAAATAAAACAACAAACATTTTTTAATAATATAAAGAATAGTTTTATTATATGGTACATTAAAGAAATATAGTTATATTCTGGAATTGCGTATTTGCAAAAAACCAATATAATTAATTTGTAAACAAAATATGAAAATTCATAAGCTAATATAAACAATATTTTGCATCGTAATATATCCTTATCTATTATATTGATTATTAAATTAAATATATTAATAATATATTACTAAATTAAATTAAATATATTACTAATATATTACTAAATTAAATTAAATATATTACTAATTAAAAATTAAATTAAAAAGAAGCAAAAACAACTGCTGGAATTCAAGATTTTTTAACATAAATAAAAACAATTCTTTCTTGATAGCGTTTTAAATCCAATATAATCAATTATATTCTTGACGGATTAATTCAAAATATTTACTTAATGTTTCTCATAAAATACATTTGAACTTAATATGTAATTGAACATTTTTTAAATAATGTATAATTTTTAATTTTGTATTATTAAATAGCGGAATGAAGGTTACGGCTACCAATGTAAACTTCAAATCAACATATCATTTTTCACATAAAAAGAACTTTCCCATTGTAAAATTGCATTAATCATATAATATAAAACTTTTTAATTAATATCTAATGTAAGCTATTTTTATAATAGACTAATATAAATTGGCAAATCGTAGTATGCATAAAGTACGCGAGAAGATCGTTAATGAAGCCGATCAATTTAAACAATTTTCAACTTGAAAAATCTTTTAAAAATATAAAAAATTTGTTACCATTGGCCTTTGGAATTATGGGAAATTTCTTAAAATACGTATAGCTTGTTATTCTTGAAAATTGTCCCTTTAAATAACCATTATGAAACATTTTGACCGATCAAAATTTACAATGTTAATTGTAATTTTAGATTTATGTTCGAGTTACATTTGTTTTTAACATAATATAATATAATCTATATATATATATATATATATATATATATATATGTGTTTGTGAATAATTTTCATAATGCACGAAAACAAATTTAAATTCAATAATATTAATAAGTAAATTTAATAAAAATGTTTAGGATTTTAAAGAGAAACGTTAATTCGGAAAATTGTTAAATTAATTAAAATATAGATTTAAATTTATATGTTAATATACATAATAAATATATAAGTGGAAACTTAACATATGTAGTATATAGTAATGGAAGGGAAATTTTTATTCATTTCAAACTCGCAGGTACTATAGCAAAATTTTTATTAAAACAAAAACACTGGAAATAAATCAGGTTAGATTAAGTATATCGTGGTTTTGCTTGATATCAGCAAATATCAACAATGTGATTCGTATGCCAACAATTTGATATCAATAATAAAATTATTTTTCCACTTTTGATCCAATTTTTAACTATAAGTTAAAAGTTTTATCGAGAATACCGACCGACGTTATTACTTAAATAGAAATTTTTTATTTGTGTTCCAGTTCAATTATATGTTTCAGTATTTGCAACATTGATTATTTTTTAGTTATCTAGCTAATATTTTTAAACAATTTTGATTTTTATATTTTCATGTAATCAAATTTTAGATTTAATTTGACAGAAAAGTACATTCTTGTGTTTTAACTGTTTTTAAGGTTAATCGCATACACAATTATTAAATGAATATGTATTAATTAAGAGTTTATTTTATGTCATGCATTTAATAATATTGTAGCTTTTTATATAGTTCATAACATATTGCTCCAATATTTTTTATTTTTTATTTTTTTTTTTAATTTAATTAACCTTTTTATTTTTTTTTCAAATTTTATAATACAGATTTATAAAGTCATATACTGTGAAAGTTGAATCAAGCATAATAAACAAAAGTATGCTTTATTTATTTTTTTTTTTTAATAAATAATTATCAGGTGTCTGTAGATATTAAAAAATTATATGTATTATTTGATCTTACTCTAATTAGTTTTAATCCGCATCAACATTTATATTGAATGCTACTTATGAGAAATTTTAATGAAATTTATTTATATTTCTGAATAACTTCTATTTTAATGCATTTATATTATTTTTGACAGATTTCCTCACAAATAGAGAAAAATGCGTTTGGTAATTTGTAATGATATTAGCAATGTTGCTGAATGGTCAGCAAAATATGTTGTGAAACGAATAAAAGACTTTAGGCCAGATAATAATAAATATTTTGTCCTTGGATTACCAACTGGTATATTATAAAAATTTTCAAAATCTTTTGATCACTCCTTTCTAATTGAATAATATAATTTCAATTTTCATTTTATATAGGTGGAACACCTCTTGGAATGTATAAGAAGCTTATAGAATATTATAAGGCTGGAAAAATATCATTCAAATATGTGAAAACTTTTAATATGGATGAATACGTTAATTTACCAAGAGAACATAAAGAATCTTATCACTATTATATGTATCATAATTTTTTCAAGCACATAGATATCGATCCTGAAAATGTTCATATTCTTGATGGTAATGCACCTGATTTGACATATGAATGCAATGAGTTTGAAAGAAAAATAAAAGAAGCCGGTGGAGTTGAATTATTTATTGGAGGTATAAATAATACTTGTATTCATAAAATATACACGCAGACTTTAAATGTATTCATAAATTTTTTCTATAGTTTTATAAAATATATTAAAATACCAATTTATATTATAGTAAATAGTATATATTTATATTATATAATTTTAAATCCAGAACTAAATAATATTTATACTATATTAATAATAAGACAAATTATTTTTAAACTGATAAAATGATTGATTTATATAACAACTAATTAAAATAATCCAAAATGTAGGAATTGGTCCTGATGGTCACATAGCATTTAACGAACCAGGATCATCATTAACATCAAGAACTAGAGTAAAAACTTTGGCACAAGATACATTAGAAGCAAATGCTAGATTTTTTGGTAACGATATCAATAAAGTACCAAAACAAGCTTTAACTGTTGGAGTTGGTACTGTAATGGATGCTGTAGAGGTCATGATTTTAATTACTGGATCTCATAAAGCTTTTGCTCTTTACAAGGCAATAGAAGAAGGAATTAATCATATGTGGACTGTATCAGCATTTCAACAACATCCTCGTACAATAATTATTTGTGATGAGGATGCTACATTAGAACTACGTGTTAAAACTGTAAAATATTTTAAGGTATTTTAATACATTCTGCAGATTCCTACGTAGTTTTCTTTTTATCATAACATTCATATTTAATTAGACATAATTGCAAAGGGCTGATTTCTAAATTTATCTTATTTATTAGCTTATTTTTAATTGACTTTTGCAAATAACTTTTGCAATGTCTAGGCTCTCAGTGCTGTCCATTATAAGTTGATTGAAGAGGAGGAAGAATCTCATCAACGTTATGCTCAGAAAATCGCGTGATTTGGTATAGTTAATTTAATAAATAAATTATTAAAAAAATATTCATGAATTTTTTAATTGTATATTTTATAACTATTTTATTAAAAATACTTGAATGATCATAATAGCAATTTGTTCCTGTAATAGTCATCACATTTATAATTTGAATCATGATATAAAAGCAAACTACAAACATTACAAATATACATTACAAATATATATAATTATTAATGAACTTCATTGTTTAGTTTGCTACCTTTTGTATATTTTATTACTGGGAAATATAAAATAATATACTTTTTTTCTTCGATATAAGCACTGAAGACTTGCAAACAATTAACAAATATATTTATGCATGATTTACTAATTAGCATGAAAATTAACAAGCAATGGCTACAATATTAATGAATTTTGTCTTTATACATTTATTAATCGTTTAAAAAATAATAAGAATAATTTTATTTCCAGAGTTTGTCAGAAATTCATGCCAAATTTGTGAATGAGATAACAGATTACTGTAATTAGGATATTATATCACAGGTATTCATTCAAAACAAAAATTGGAAGACATGTAACAAAAATGTTAATGATTAATTTTTATAAAATGATATTGTATTTATACTAACTATGCCTGCGATCTTTTTAATGTATGTATAATTTTTAAGTTATTCCATAAAGTTTTTAAGTATAATTACTTTACTTATCTGCCAAATAATATTCTTTGTTTCAATTAATTTTGTATAAAATAAAATATATTGATTAATATTTTTATAAAATAAAATGTATTACATAATATTTTTATAAAATTAATATGTTGTATCATCAAAAATGTATTTAACAAAATAGATTTTTTTTTTTATTTAAAATAGTTTATTAGAATTAAGAAAATGTTCAATATAGTTTTATACAAATTCTATAAGATATTTGTGTAGTACATTCATTTACTAAGCTTTTAGTTGAAGCTAGTAATTAAAATATAATTATTATAAATGTTATAACTAGTGTCTTTGATTAAATGATAAAATTGAATTTTAATTATCAGAATTATTTAAATCGTTTGTAACTTACTGTCACTTATTGATCAAGTAAAAATTAATTTTTAAATTTTTTTATTTATTAGTATTTGAAATAATTTTATAATCATGATAACAATGAAAACATATTGCGCGTAAAAAGATAACTAATTCGTTCATAATTCATTTTATCTCTTGAAATAGAAAAGACTAATACATATATATATATATATATGTAAAATTACACTTCTAATGATACAATAGTAAGGTGAAGATTGTTATTATTGTTATTTTCACAATGAGGTCCATATATTTTTATACAATTATATTGAAATGGAATTGCATTTCATGTATCCTATTAAAAAATTGGTATAATTAAAACGATAGTTATTTTTTGCTAATACCATTTATAACTTTGTTTTTCCTATTTTTCCATAATTTTACCTTATGGCTTATAATGAAAATGTTGATGCAGCAAACCATATTAATTACATTTCGTAAAATAATTAATATTATTTCAAAATTAATAATGTTTTTTTTTTAAACTGCAAATGAAAATTAATTCTCATACATGCAAGGGTTATTCAATATAAAAGTTTATAATTTTTAATTCAATTTTCATTTTGTACCAATAAAAATTGTGAATAGAATTTTATTTTTAAATAATTTTTATCTTTTTAATCATAAGTATAAGAAATTTTAATCACAGTATGTATCATTTAAAAAAAAAAAAAAAAAAAAAAAAAATGAGACTTACTTAATAATAATAAATGAGAATAACTTAATACACAATAAGATATTTTTAGTTAATATGTATATAAAAAAACTAATTATAAATTTAGTTTTTTAGAATACAGCGTACAATTTAATGCAATAAGCTTCTTGTTATTAATATTTGATATATTGTAATATGCAAATGAGATTCTGAAATATGCATATATTTGACATAAGGAGGAATATTTCTTTATCAATAATATGTATTATATCAATTTGTTGAAGACAATGTTACAAGATAAGCAACACCTTATGAAAAATCTATAACAAGAAATCGTAATTCCGTATTACATGGTCATATTCCAGTTGTTTATTTTATTTGCATATATATAAATATTTCATATCATTGTTATATAAATTGCTTAAATGGATAAATCATTAGTTGTTAAATAACCTATGATTAGTTGTTGCGCAATATTATTCGTGGCTTTTAAAAATTCATAATGAGTTAATTGAGCAAAGAAATTATTATGATCGATATTCATGAAATACATTTTAATAATTAAGTTCTTCAATACGTAGTAAAAATTAATTTTATTACGATGGCATGGAAATCTATGACTATAAGTTTAAAGAATAATGCCGAATTATAGGATGTTAGATATATCATAGATTTTTATAAATAAATCAATTTTTGTTCTTTGAATTAGTGTATGATTCCTCCTAAATGAATTGTATTACTTTATAAAGGATAGAAAATAATAATATAGTAACGAGTCAATTACCCTATCAATAACAGAATACACCTTATAAATATATATTTAAATGTACATCCATTTCCAGTAAATTTTTATAACTATTTATGAAATGTGTCTACCTTTCTGCAAATACTATTAAAAAAAAAAAAAAAACAACGTTTATTTTAATTCTGACAATATCACTTCTACGAATAAAATAGTTTTCTTCTTAATTATAATCTTAATATATTCAAAGATGATAGCGTCATTAAACAAATTCATATTTCATCACATTCTTTTTCATTAATCATTTGTGTCAAGTCATAAAATGCCAAGATGCATAAGAGAGAGAGAGAGAGAGAGAGAGAGAGAGAGAGAGAGAGAGAATCTATATTACTACGAATATTGTCGCACGGAACTCATCAGTTCTATTACATACTTGCAGTCACACTAGCTGCACGTTCTCGCTTTTTAAAATTGCATAGCACTGGACATTAATATAATAAATATAGAAACATATACTCACTATAAATTTAAGATTAAAGATATGGAGTTTAAAGAGAACAGTATACAGTATGAGGTCGTTCTACGGGATCCGCAATCGGTTTTGCAAAAACAACTCGGCAACGATTTGAAAGTAATCGATTTCAAAACCAAAACTTTTTTGCAATTAGGTGATAACTACGGTAGTACAATTTTAGATGTTCAGGTTAAAATTAAACGAAAAAATGACGCAGAAGAAGAAAAGTTGGATTTAGTGGCCAAAATGCTACCGCCCACGGAATTTCAGAGAATATTTTTTGAAACTCAAATTAGTTTTAAAAAAGAGATATTTGTCTATGAAAATTTAATTCCAACTTATTGTAGTTTATATAATGGGGTTTTTGACATTACCCCCAAGTTGTATGGCTCGAGAATATCAATTACAGCTGATGTCGATGAAGTGGAAAATGACGCGGTGATATTAATGGAGAACTTGAAAGTTAAAGGATATTGTATGGAAGATAGGCATAAAGGTTTGTTTAAATAAATTATCAAAGGGCAATTACGTAAAATAAAATTAATAATTCATTACACGTTGAAGGCTTTTTAATATTGAAAAAAAAAAGATAATAATAAATTTTTACAAGTTAAATTTACAAAATGATATATTTCGAATATAAGAGGAATGTTCTTATTAAATGTCTTAGGTTTTAATACGACTAATCGAAAAAAATAGTTAATACATGAAATACTTAATACATGAAAAAACTTATTCACTTATATTTATAAGTTTTAAATTAAATTACACCAATATCTCCAATAACAATAGTCGATAAATTACAAAATTTTAAAAATAGATTATTATATGAATATAATTTTTCTAACAATTAAAAAATTTTTCCTTCTAAAATGTATCAAAAATTATGATAAAAAATTTATGAGATTTCATAATTCTCTAACTTTTTGTACCTAAATAATAAAAACGGATGGAAATATAATATATTCTGCATTATAAATATTTCGATGTTTATATTATTGATTAAACTTGGAAAAATATTTTAACGAATCTTAAATATTTTTGCATTTTATTATGAATAATAATGATTCAATCGGAGCATTTCAGTTCATACTTTCTCAACTGATATACATTAAAAAAGATCATTTTATGCATGCAATAAATGTAAAAAGTTGATTTTTAAATACTAAAAAAGTAATAAAATAAATGCAAAATATTGAAATATTACAAAAAAAAAATTCAAGATATTATGATTCAATTAATTTAAACATATCTGAAAATATTCAAAAATTTCGAAATAAATAAATAAATTTCTTTTTACACACCTTACAAGCAATTCAATACAGTAGAACATCATAATTTCTCGTTCGATCCTATCATCTTGCATCAAAGCTGAAATGAAAATATGTTTTAAATTATGATAGAATTTTGTTCGAAAACAATATATCTCCATCTCTCATTATACGCATTCTTAAATATTCTTCAAAACTAATCTTCATATAAGACCAGTATATATTTATTCAGAAGATTCATTAAAATATTACTTTTTATTATACTCCACGTGTTGATGCAATTCATCGTTCGCTCATTAGCCGACAACATGTAATCTTTTAATAGAGACATTAAAGAGCTTCATAAATTCTATCATATTCAAAAATTGAATCCTCAAGGTTTTCATTATCACTCAACTTTTAATACTAAAACTGACTATATATTTGTTTTCAATTATTAACCTTGTGATTTTTAATGATTATTTGAACTAGATGTGATATAAATATTTCATGTTCTTATTTCATCGATGAATCAGTATAAAACTTATGGATTATGTTTTTTATTTATATAAAATATTATCTCATTGTATGTTGAAATTTCGTGATTTTTACTTATATAGTTAATATATATTTGTAATGAAAATTTGGAAACAGAAATACTTATATGAAATTATACATAATAAGATATATATACTAAACTGTACCTGTGCGCTTACACATCCACAAATACGCAGGTATTCACATGTTAAAGTATATGTATAGCCGAGTGTCTGTAAAAAATATCGAATTTAACATTAATGTCTATAACATTACATATAATATATATATAATATATATAATATATACATTAATACATTAATATATTTATACATTTATACATCTAAATATATAAATAATTATATTGAATATATTCAAATTTATTAATATTTATATGTTAGGGTATTTAATATTCAATATTTATTTAATTATTAATTAATTAATTAATAGTTAATATTCAGTATATTGTTATTATATTAAAAATTAAGAATGTGTTAATAGTACATATACTATAAAATTTAATTGAATAATAAGACAATAATAAATTATTTGTTTTATAAATCAATTTTATTTTAAATTTATTATGTACATATAAATTATCCTTTCTTGGATTTATATTAAAAAATGCTGTTTTATCGGATCCGGTGACAAATATATAGTTATATTTTTAATTCGTTAAAAAATTTTGTAAACTATGAAGTTTTTGTAAATAAACATACATTGAAATTAAATTATTTAATTAGATCTCTATTTCATGTGATTATTTGATTTATTTTATTGTATTTACTTTTAGATAATTCTAGATTGGACTAAGATTTATCGTATCAGGAAGAAAGGATTGTAAAAAATTAAAAAACATGATTTTAAAGAACCCGATTTCAAATTTGATTTATTTAAATTTTAAATTTTCGAACTATTTGTTTTGTAGATGTAGGCAACTACTGAAGCATAAAACTGCAAGTAACCTTACAAAAAGCAAACATAAGAATTAAAGATAATGAACATAAAATTTCTGAATACTTGTAAATTTTTGTATTAGATATTTTCTTTAATAGATAGATTCAACCTATTAATAAGAAAATTATAATATAAAAAAATGAGATGAAGACATAAACAACTTGATAAACATATAATAACAATATGATACGATGTTTATGTCCCAATTCTCTCTTGACATACTTTCATTCGATATATTTGTGTATTCGTACTATTTATGTACGGCAAGCATTTATTTAAAATAAAAAAATGACAATCTGAAAAAAAGAAATACTGTTCTTTAGCAAGGAAATTTAATAATATTATTTTTAATAATACATTATACTTTAATTAATTTAGTTAATTAATAACAAAATAAAATGGTTCTACGACTAAAAACATATATATTATTGCTGATCCATTTTGTACTTTTAATATATGCAAATATTTAATGTTAAAAATTTAAAAGATGTTAACATTTAAATTAAAACTTGCATATGATTATTCATTTTTTTTTTTCATTCAAAAATTCATTTTCACCTACAGTATCTACAAAAAATCAATTCGAAAAAACCGTATTATTAAACAATTTATTTTTAAATTAAAATAATTTTCACTCCTGTACATTAACATACCAAACAAATTCATCTGTTTATCGCATATTATTCTTATTCTGAATATAATAAAACATTACAGTATTTTAATTTAATCATTTCATATTTTGGCTACGATGATATTTATAAATTAAAAAAAAATCTATACATCTAATTAAATTTTATTAATTTATATAATGAATATTATTATTTAATCGGTGTATATAAAATAAATACGTTTTCAGTCAAGTGAATAAAAATATAAATAAATTATGCGTACATTTTTTTATTTATTTTATTTATTTTAAATTAATCGTTATTTTGAAGTAATCATCATATTTATGAAACGACTAAAGTCCAATATTTTACAAATGGCAAAAGTTCAGAACAGAGTCTTTTCCAAGCAGAGAAAAAGTAGGTTTAAAAATGACTAGTCAATATAACATTTGTCCCGTTGAATAAAATAACTAAATAATTAATTAAAATTGTTATTAAATAACTTTGGTTAAAAAAAAAAATATCGTATCTATCTAATGAAATAACGAAGAGTTTTATCGTGACTTAACATTTATCGAATATTCAGAATACTCCGCACATTTTTATGTAATACTACATGAATGACGAAAAATGTTGCATCGGTATTTCATCATGATAATTTTTTTTTTTTTTTTAAATATATATACGTATATAAATATATAAATAAATAAAATAAAATTAAAATAAAAAAATTAATATCTATATACGTAATATTTAATAATTTGTAAATAATTGTTTTTTAATAAATATATAATTTATTTACTAAATCTAATGTTAAAACTATATACATACAATTTATTTTACAAAAAATATCTTTCACTAATTTCAGTAATTTCAATAGTTACTAGAATTACGTGAAATATATTAAAAACATATTTTTCAAAATCATATATCTTAATTGTGTATAGAAAATCATTGTTAATTATAATTAGTTAAATTTTATAATTATATTCTAAAAATCCAAATATTAAACAATTAATTAGATATTGTTACAACAATAGTAGTTTTATTTTTAATGCCAACAATATTGATGTTTAATCAATTGCTAATCTTTACATAAAAAAAACGCATTTATTGTTATTATATTATTTATACAAACACTTTATTTATTTAATGTAATATAAGCAATTTCCTTAGAAGATTTTTACCTTTTTATAAATTTATGCTTGCTAACTACGGTACATAAGAAAGTAACGAATCGTTTATTATTTGGTAAGTTATAATTTTGTTTATAATCTTACGTGTATTCAGTAATATAATAATAATAATAATAATAATCCTTTTTTTTCATAGTAATACTCTATTGAATTCCTATACGATTAACAATGCTATAAACATATAAAGCATAAATAATAATAGAATGATTAAATGAGATTAAGTATTATAGAAAAATAAACGAATTATATCATTTTTGTAAAGATAATTAATCATTTCAAGCATACTTCCTAGTGGCAGTACATTAATTATTGGAAACTTATTTTTCTAAGATATCAATTAAACGGATCCGTTCAATAGGCTTAAAGAGATATAATATTTTAACATTTTTCAGGATAATTTTTCATTAAATAATTACTGTGGGGTTGCTATGGCTTTGAGTACTTAAATAGATAATGCATTTTCCTTAAATATTTAAACTATTCATCGCGCATTTTAATATCTATTTGTTTAATATAGAATTATAAATCTTTACCTTTTTTTAAAGATAAAAAGATATAAAAATTTTTTTAAATGATAAAGGAAAGGTAGCTGGATAGTTTGTTTGTGGAAAGAAGTGAAAATTATTATAAATTCCGAGCATTTATATCGTTAAAAATAATTACAACATAGTTTATCAACGATTATGTGAAAGTATTTTTTTGCAAGCTGTAAGATAATGAAATCTTTTAAATATCAAAAGAGAATTATTTTCATGTAAAAATTAAAAAAAAAATAGACAAACTAAAAAATAAGTAAATATCAGTTAATGCACTTTAAAGTTGAAATTTATATTTCTTACAGTAACCGTATTAAAAAAAAAAAAAAAAAAAAAAAAAAAAAAAAAAAAAAAAAAAAAAAGTACGTAGTAGTGTCATTTGCAAAGAACAGTGTTTTCCAATAATGTAAGTATGTGATACAAGTCACACTTTATGAATTTAAATTTAATTACTTAAACATAATGGTGTGCTTATTAGTGTAATTATAATTATAAATTTCACTAGTAATAGTAAGTGTAAAATTATTTTTAAATCAAATCATATTTGTATAATTTTTATAATTTTTACTTCCAAAATTATAATTGTTAACGATTGACAGCTCAGTAAAGCTAGGTTTCATCAAAATTCTAATTATCTAAGTAATTGTAAAATTTTATTTCTATTATCTTCGAGTTATAGCTTGTTATTTTTAAAATAATTTATTAAACAAAGACAATAAAAAATATGACGGAACAATGAAATGTCAATAGCAACTGGATAATATGGTTTTTAAATAAATAATTAAAATCGCGATTAAAATATCGCACGATAATTATTAATATTATTAAGTTGAGAATTCGATGAATCATCATAATATTAAACGTTTTGCTTAAACGTTTCAGGGTTAAGTCTGGCACACATAAAAATGACAATATTGTCTCTAGCTAAATTCCATGCAATTGGCCTTTCTATTAAGCATAAAAAGCGCTCTTACCTTCCTACGTTACAAAGATATATGAAGCCAATGATAATAATAAATGATGTAATGAAGCCCTTCATTACCAACGTATTAGATGTTATACAGGCTGATCCTGATTTAAAGCAATATTATGATCGCATTAAAAGAACCGGAAACTTCGAAAATATTTCTGATACGTATTATAATTCTCTAAATGTGGAACATCCATGGGCTTGCGCAGTGCATAGTGATTTATGGGTAAACAATGTTTTATTTTATCGCAACAAATTGGAAGGTCAAAACGTTGCGAAATTCATTGATTTTCAAATGTCATATATATCCAGTCCATTGTCGGATCTCATCTTCTTTCTTTGCATTAGTATGGAAAGATCATTATCCCACATAGATGAAATGATAGAATTGTACAGACTACAGATCATTGATATTTCTAAAGAATTAGGATGCGCTGTGGAGCAATTTTCAAAAGAAAAATTTGATGAAAGGTTGAAAATCGACGCGGCAAATGAATTGTATCATATTTTGTTGATGTTAAAAGTCGTTGAATTGCCTAAGAATGAACAAATTGAAACAAGCTTATTGAACGATAATTGCATATTTAGATTAAAAAATATAATACGAATATACACTGACAAAAACTGGATTTGATATTATTTTGAAATTCAATAAAAAAAAAAAATAAAAAAAAAATTTTAATAAAGTTATAACACAATTAGGAATTAACATATATTCATTTATATTTCTTTGAAATGAACATATGACTTATTCTAACAATAATGTATGTTCATTCTGAAAAAAAAAAAAAATGTTATAAAACAAATATTATTTTCTATTATATATAAGATTACGATATGAAAAAAAAATTTTTAAATGTTATAAAATGTGCATTCTTTATATGCATGCGCATGTATACATGTGCATATATGTTCGTATTGAAATATTAATTACTGTTACTTTAAAAAAAATAAAAAAAAAAATTAAAAGTTATAATATATACCACAATTACAATTTTATTATTGTTAAAATATTTGTTTTTAAAACATAATACATAATCTACATGCCTATATTTACATAAAAATAATTTATATCTTTCCAAATCACGTCGTTTGAAAAAATGCTAAAGAATTCAAACAATTTATATACTCTTTTCATATGATCTTTGTACGCCTTTATATCTTTGTATCCAAACAAATTTTAAAAACTAACATAAAACCAAGTTAAATATTATAAAGTATAGTTTTCCTATATTGTTATTGAAAATTATATAAATTTACTATGATCCATTGTTACTTATTATACTATTCATTATTAACGATAATAGTACTATAAAATAAACATAATAGAATGTAAAATGCTTTTAAATAGTTAACTGCACAAAGATAGTAAATAACAACTTGTTATGAAATTAATCAAGATTTACCTTTATTTAAGATTTAAGATAAAATTTAAGAAATATTTACCTTTTTGAAATTGTAAGTATGAAAATAATAAAAAAATACGTTGCGGATAAAAATCTAAAATGTATATTGTATTACTTAATTGTATTGTATATTTGAATATTGTATATTGTATTATATATATATATATATATATATATATATATATATATATATATATATATATATATATTGCATTATTTAAATATATTGCTATTAGATATGTAGTATATTATATGTCTAGTAATATTAATAATATATGTATATTGTAATCACTTATTTATATAATATCTTAAAAAAAATGTTAATATAATATAATATAAAACCATAAAAGAAATATTTGAATTGCTATTAAAAATTTTAATATAAATATGCGCCTACCAGAATCTTCAAAAATTTCCTAATAGCGATTCATTAAGCAAATACCGGTTAAAAAAATGATAATTGTTTTTATGTTCTTGTGTTAGGCGAATAAAATTATAATATATAATCACACTTATAATGAAATTGTATTTGAATTAATGTGATTACCCTAATGTGCATATGTATATAAGATTGACGGATAGCTCTGTGTAAATAACAATTTTTTATGATAAACCGATCTGGAAATATGGAAAGGATACTAACATCTATATTTTAAAAATGAGAAATTAAAATTCACAATAAGGTTTTTCGATATATTTACTTACAAATCTTAACAATTAGAAAATATTATTTAATAATTTATTATATCAATTTTATAATGTTCGCACTAAATTTTGAATGAAATAATAATAATAAAAAAGAAAAGAAAAAGAAATAGAAAAAACACACACACACACAAAATTCCGTTGATACGTACTATTTTGTGATAGAATTTATTTAACTAATCATATCATGATACGAATAAACTGTATTAAAGAATATATTTAATATGTATTCCATTACAAAATGAATGTAAATTAATATGTATATTTATGATAATTTATGAGATGCGTGATTGTAAAGTATATTGTACTTGGTAGTTATCTATATTTTCTTGCACGAATTCGAAATTTATATCCGCAATAAATAAATTCCACTCGAAGTAAACGAACAACCTTTAAAATAAGCTATTTATCTAATCTGTTACTATGATCAATTGATCGTCAATTATATTTTTATATCTCCTTTTTACATCAGTATAGATATTTTATTGTTATAGATATTGATGCATTAATGATGATAGCTTACTTATATTCTTTGATCTTAATATGCACATTATCAAATAACAAAGTAAATAATGCAAGCATTTAATTAATAAAACAATTTGAAATATTGATCGTTCTACATAAAACGCCATCACAATATTTTTATGTTTAAAATGTAAAAATAGATATGTAATACAAAAGTATTGTAATAAAAAATAATAATAATAATAATAAAAAAAAATATATATATATATATTAGTGTATAATTTGGATTATGTATTTTTCTCTTTACTCAATTATATTTATAGCATCACATTTACATTCAGCTTTAAAGTAATTTGTAGATTAGAATTTAATACGTCATGGTTCTTTGCCTGACATTACTGCACGAAACTACTTTAAAATGAAAATTATTATAAAGAAAAAATTATACATACAAATAACTAATAAATAAAATTAATACAATTGAATAATTCATAATATAAAAAAAAAAATTTTAATATTCCATTGAATGCTCAATTTAATAATTTTACATAAAATAATTTTTAAATACTTACATTATTCATTAATAATAATTTCATATAATAATTAACTGTACAGTTTTTAATTTTATAATAATTTGCATTTGAGTATATTATTCATTCACACTTTCAGCAAAAAAAAAATATATAATATTAAGCAAAATTACAATTAATTCTCAAGAAGCTCATTTTTATCATAATTTATTATGCTTTTCTATTGCGTTACTATTTTAAACATTATTTATTCTGAAATTACATTAAAATTATAATCATTTTCATAATACACTAATTTGTTCTGTTTGTATAGCATAAATTATTCTAATTTTAACAATCGTCGGGCATGATTTAGTATTTATCTTAATCTCTTAATTATTATTTGAAAATTTACATGCCATTATTTATATATTATTATTTATACCATTATTAACATTAAGTAAATATAATTAGATAATTAAGAATTCTAAACATATTTTTGTGAGTAAAAAGTGTTTAACGTTAGTTATATTAATAAATTAATATCGAAAAATTTACGAAGCTTAGAATATATTTTTTTTATTATGTAACCTGTATCGAATAGTAATATATTGTCATAATTAATTCAAAAATTAATTAAAAGCTAGTATTAGTAATATATAAGCTATTGACTTATATAAGAGTTTTGTTATTAATATATAAGGTTATTAAGAAGTTATAGAATTTTATTTATAGTTATCAGTTTCAAATCATATATCACCGCAAATTGCATTGAAAGTGAGCTTCGAGCACTTCGAGAACAATTAGAATGGCTCCTATTAAACAGAAAATAGTTGTAGAAATCTCCTTTTCTGCAAATTTCCTTGCAAATCATTATATTGTTTCAATTTTACAGTTTTTTTTTTTTTCAACTATTCTTATGCAAATTTTTTTGACTCAATATTATTTAATGACCAAATATATAATTCATATTAAATATATTTTTTTGTGTGCAAAAATTTGTTTTAGTAAAAATCTAAATTTAAGTTCATAAAATGATATATTATATCATTTAGTCTTTACATAAAAACATATATATTTATATACTTCATATATAAACCGAAAAATCTATAACGCAACGTGTTGTTAATATGGAAAATGTTAAGAAAATAAATAATTGTATCTTCTTTATTTATTACATATATAGATTATTTCATCCACAGTATTCTTACACATAACTATACATATTTATGTCTTTAAAAAAATAAATAAATATTGATGTTTTATAAAAACAAAATATAAATAAATAAATATAAATATATATATATATATATATATATATATATATATATATATATATTCTTTTATTAAATACCAAGTTTGTTTAGTAGATTATAATCATTTAAAAATCGGTAATATTAATGTACAAATAAAAAATTGAAGTGTTCACTTTAAGTGGTTAAAAATAAAAAGTGAAGCATTTAAAATGAAAAGTTGCATTTTATAATATAATCACTAAATTTTACATCAACAATTTTTAGAAAAGGCGGCTGATGAAGCTATAAATAAAATACATTTACTTATTTGACTGTGAACTTAATTTGCATTATTGGTGTTTGCATAAAAACATTAGATAATTTTTCAATCTGTAACACAATTGGGACAATTCTATTAATTACATTATGTTATCTGATCATAAAAATAAAAAAAAACTTAAGCATATTATGGTATTTAAAAACACTATTCTTATAGTGTACTCGTATCAAATTGGGATCGACTTTACAGTTACTTCTTAATCCCTTAAATTATGAAATACAGAGTTATAGTGTTCCGTTTTCTGATGTTTCATTATATAGTTTGACATTGCCTCAAACAAATACTTTTATTACAACGTTGAAATTCGAATTACATGTAATTAAAGTTCTGTTAAATTGTTCCATAAGCATCTTACTTCGTTTAATTTGCTGCTACTGACACTTGTCAATTGACTATTTATTAATATTTGTATGTTATCGTTGGAATTATTAGTAGAAATAATAATGATGATTTATTTAACGAGAATTAGAAAATAATTAAGCAACATAAGATTATGTATAATATGAAATTTTTCTTTATAAAAATTTGCAATATAAAATATTCTATGTTATATTTAAAAACTAAAAAAAAAAATTAAATAAATTGTATTGTTTTTTATCCATGTAACTAGATTTTAATATTCATAATACAAAGAGAAACAATAATGACTGTTTATAATAATAAAAAAAGCAAAAACTCTAGCGTTATCAATAATATTATTGTAACTTGATAGTTCAACAGTTTTCAATGTATTTTAGAATAAAATATAAAATACTTTGAAATACTTTTCAAAATATACTTTAATAATAAGAATGAAATAGATAGATGAATATAATATTAAAAAAGAATTTCAATAATTCAAATTTTATTCCGACATTTTATTTCGTACATTTATTCTACGGTGTCTTAACTCGGTGAGTATATAGTATTTTATAAATTAAGATATATTTTATAAGCCATAAACATATTGCATATAACAATTTAATTTCTTGTGAAATAGAATGTGAATTTATATTTAAACTTTTAATATGAATTAAGAGAATAAATATGAATTACTATGAAATAAGAGATTAATTACATAGTAATAAAATTAATTCTACCATGTAATATATTTAACACAATTAACAATATTTATATATTGTTTAGCATGTTAATCTAAATAAACATATAGTAAATTTATAAGCAATTAACTTAAATGTACTTTTTAACAATATTGAGACACAAAAAGGAATAAAGATAACTTATAAGCAGCTGAGGATAAATGTATTAACATTTGATCGTACGATCAATGATGTTTTACCGATATCTATGGTAAGATTTATACGAATATTCGAGTCCAAAAATTCATCGATAGAAGATAAATAAATATCGTTTCCACTCATATTTTATTACGATCGTCAAATAAACATTTTTTTAAATTAAGATTAATCATTTGATATAATAAATTCATATAATAAATTCAGTAAATATATATTTAAAAACTACTCAAATCCTTTTAGCTATATTGCACATGATTTACATGTATAGACATGTAATTTTATTCATTATGCATGTATTTAAAAAAAAAAAACAAAAAAAAACAAAAAAAAACTACATATACAACTCATAATATAACTTTGTGGTTAGTCTATTGTATTTCATAGATTTATAAGGAAATTTATGTAAAGAAACCTAAAATTGTATCATATTCTAGATTTGTTTTAAAGTGGAAAAAATTCATATACTGCGATAAGTAAAAGTTTTAATGTTTTAGATAAAAAGTATTTAGGAGATTTACAGCTTTAAATATAAGAATTTTGCATTTTATTAAAAATATTAATTATACGTATGTTACTTAAAATTTTTCATATATAACTACTATTATGTTATATCTACTGTGGCCTACCGTATACCATCAATATTACTTTCATTATAAACATTAAACATTATCTTTTACACATTTATATAAATATTTATAAATTAATATATACTCTTCTTTTTAAATTTTAATAATTAATCGGCTATCAGTTTCAACACATAAATTTTAATATATATAATTAAAATAGACATCAAATTAGACATTTATATAAATTTTTGTTAATATAATGACCTAATGTTAATGATAGCGAAATATTCAATAAACAATACACGAAGCAGTTCATACTCTATAGTGTTTCAAAATACATTTACAACAAATAAAAATAATACAACAAAGACAACAATTTAAAAATGACCTTTTTATTTTTTTAATCAAGGACATTATATGTATATAGATAAAGTATTTAATAATATACTTTAAAATTGTTAACTGCCGTATAATATTTTTTATAAAATTTAAATCCAAGAATGGATAAACATTATTTTTCCACTCAAGTATTTTCAATAATTAATTCCCTTATTTCTTTGGTTTGAAAAAATTGCTGAAAAAATATTTTACATTTTTAATCGTTGACTTGTACAAATTCTTTAAATGGCATTATTTTTAAAAATTTTCTTTAATTTATCATTGTAGAAGATTGAAAATTGCTTATAAAATAAAATACTAAACTAGTACACGAGCTTTTTCAACTACATACCTTAAACCTCAAATAATTAAGAAGTAGGAAATTCTTCAATTATAGTCCTTTTGCATTTATACCAAATGATTCTGCTATTCAACAAAGAACTAAAATTTCAAATTTTCAAAGATATCAACATTGCATTCACTCATAGAAATGCTTGATATTTGAAAACCCTATAAGAGACTGATTATATTGTTTATAATCATAAATTATTATATTGCCAATAATTATGAATATTTGCTTAGTTTTATTCAATCGATATCAATATCAACTGATAATCTCAAAGATAGGCATTTTAATAAATAGTAATACTGAAATATCATGAAATAATCTTATAATTATATTAAAATTCGAAAACAAAAGAACTTAATATTAAATTCATTCAAATTAAAAATTACTAAAAACATGGGTCAATTGACATTACGAGCATTTGATTTACTGACGTTCGATGTCCAATTAGTAAGATTAATGTCCTTGTTAAACAGATCACTATCAATAATAATATTATTATCTATATTTAATTAATTAATCAAATCAAAAAAAAATTAATTAATCAAATATATTAATTATTAATAATATTAATGATAAGTGATAAAAATTGTAATTAAAAGAAAAAAGCTAAATTCCCTTTATTATTTAAATAGATATTTAATAGAAAATATTACAAGCGTAAAAAAAGTAATAAAATTGCAATAATAATTTGTAAAAATTTATATATTAAAAGAATTTCATAAGAATTATGAAATTCAGTATATCGACTATATGAATAATTTATTAAATGAAATATATAATTTTGTATAGGTATTAGTATAACACATACATATTTCTTCACTAATATAATGTAGTTTTAATTATTCTTCAACGCTGAAATAATCTTTTTATGTACTCAAACTTTATATCTTTTATTGAAATATCGATTTTAATTAATTATTATTGATTTAAGAACAGCTAGGTATTTTATTAGTAGAACAAATTTTTTTATATATTTCTAACGGTGATACTTATTTGCTTGTCTAAAGAGTAAATGTTATAGATTTAAAAAAATTGTACTAATACCCCACTTCTGACAGTGTGTATAATTTTTTTTAAAATTACTTTATAAATTCTAAAGCGATTATATAAACTAAAAAACGAAAGATAATGTAATTTGAGAAAAACAATGATTATATGTAATTATCACGTAATTAGAATATTTATATATTTTTCAAATTAAACGTTCCTTAGTAATTGCGTATACACAGACACGCACGCACGCACGCACGCACGCACGCACGCACGCACGCACGCACGCACACAATGATATTGAATTATAAAGAAATCTTTAGTTATATTTTTAGAAGATCAAATGCCCTGCGTTAGTTTATTGGGAAAGAACAAAAAGAACAAAGCGTAAGGTTAATTACTATCTAGTATATGTGATTGAGCGAGAGCTAGAAAAGATATTAATATGTGTTAATTAAAGTATTTAAATGGTGATATGAACACACAAAGTGAGCAATCCTACCAATGATCTTATAGCGCGAGTACCATTTATTATGATGTGGTAGTGGAGGGGATCGTATAAAAAGCCTCAATAATTATATATACGATAAAATATGACATTGGTTGTGTCGTGCACTTATGTCTATGCCATTAGTACGAACGATACTGTTGGATGCAGTGAGTACTTTTTCATTAAATAAACATTTAGTCTCTTTCAATTTTATATGGCGATAGCGAGTGATTTGTTTTTGTTTTAAACCATAGTTAAACTATTGTCTTTATAAAGCCCATTTCGTATTAGCTACAATAGATACATAACTTACAGTATAACGAAAAGATATTTACAGGGTATTAAAAGCAAAAAAAAAAAGAAAGAAAAAAAAAAGAATAAAAAAATGTCTTTGGGTGGCTCAGCCACGTACTTACAAGAAGGTGAAGTGGTACTACGTGATTTACAAGGTCTCCTGAGGAAATTCTTGGATGAGCAAGTGATTGTTGTCAACTTCACAACATCGACTTTACTACCTAAGGGTGAAAATTATGGTAGCACTATATTGAAAGTTGAAGCTGTGATTAAGAGGAGCAAAGAATCGTCGGAGGAAAATCTGTCGCTAGTAGCGAAAATGATATCTCTGATAGAATTTCAAAAGATCCATTTAAATAACACCAGTTCGTTTATGAAAGAAATATACGTATTTGAAAAACTAATACCCAGTTACAGAGCATTAGAGAAGGAAAGTGGAATAAAGGATAAAGATTTATTTGATATATTACCGAAATATTATGGCGGAAGATTAAATAGAAATCAAGAATTGCTTAATGAGGCTGACGAAGACGCCGTTTTATTGATGGAAAATTTAAAAGTGCGTCATTTCCATTCGATGAATAGACAACAAGGTAGGTCTGCTTGTTTTGTATTAAATGTTTTGTCCTTTCAAAAAGGAATTGAAGCAAATTAGTTAATGAACTGATATTTTATAGACGGAAAATTATGAATATTAGTTAATTAATGCTGCATCCCTGATTTATCCTTTTATCAAAATAAGCCGACTTACGTATAAAAATAACATAAAACTACCATTCGTAGCTCGAATATTTCTTCTTATCGACGACATCGTCGATTTGAATTTGAATTTTACGGCATTTTAATTTTGATACTTAATTTTAAGTCGACTACTTTACTTGACAAACTTCTTGTGCTCTAAATTTGGACAACACGATTCTTTCGACAAGCTCATATTAATTTATTCACAACAAACAGCTTGCCATAAATTTTTCAAGATTTTGACGTTTTTCAGAGAATGTAAAAATCCAATGAGTACGTAAACTAATATTTGCGCATTGTTTTTGCAAGGTCTGGATTATTATCATGCGAAACAGGCCATCGATCAACTCGCTCGATTCCACGCTTTGGGCAGGGCTCTTAAATACAAGAATCCGGCCTTCTTTGAGGAGGCTACCAAAATCATAAATGTTTCTCCATTCAAAATGTCGACAAACGAATTCAACGACATTGTCCAACATTTAATCAATATGATTTGCACGGATTCGCGAATAGCCAAGTACAAAGACAGACTTCAGAATTTAATCGACATAGGCTGTAATTTCATTACACCGTCCGAAATTAGCGAACCCTGGATAACGTTCGCTCACGGAGATTTTTGGGTCAACAATATTATGTTTCAAGAAGGTAATAAATAATATCGTTAAAAAATATCTAATCGAGAAAACGCATCGATAAGCAATAATATCTTCAGCGCTATCATCATCATCATCATCATCATCATTATCATCCTCGTCGTCGTCTTTCTTCTTCTTTTTTTTCTCTCCCTTTTTTCTCTCCCTTTTTCCTTTTTCTTCTTTTTTTCTTCACAAAACTTAACAATACTCTCCTTAAAGTGTATTTCAAAATATTTCATTTATTTAATTAATTTTAGTTATTTTAGTTATTTTAGTTATTTTAGTTATTTTAGTTATTTTAGTTTATATTATATTATTTTATTTCATTATTATAATATTATATTATATCATATTATTTTAGTTCAATTAACAAAAATATACATAAGAATAAATAATAATACAAGTTTCTTCGTTCGTGTTAATTTATCTCATTTCGGATTATTTTATTAATTACATGGAATTAAACTTTGTAAATTATCTTCGGATATAAAAGAACTAGTAGTATTTACTATATAAAAAAAATTTACCACGACTTACATTTTTAAATAATTATTTATATTCATTATTGTGTAATAAATAAAACATAAAATAATTTTTACATACCGGGCTAATGCAATATTGGATTTCTTATATTTTACTAAGAAATAACATAATTATAATTATTATTCATCTATATTTTACATCGAATATAATAAAATACAAATATAAAAATATATACTGATCAATGATAAATACGAATAAAATTGCTCAATTATATGTATCTAAACGCTAATGAATTATACAAATTATCAAATACATAAATCGATAATATCCTTGATATTATTATTTTAATTTAATAATTAATCGTGCGCGTAGAGTTGTTAAAGCTTCATTATAATTGTACTGCAATTGATAAAATTGTACTAAATTGAATACTAAAAATGCTTGCATTTTATTTTCACGTAGCAATATCGTTTTCTGCTTAGGCACAAAATGATCCATTGCAAAACGTAATGGATTTCTTTAATGTACCTTTAGAAAGGAATAAAATTGAAGTAAAAAGCACGGCATTGTTACTGAATATTTTTGATCAAAGTTACGCTCGTGTGATCAAATCTATCATTACTCTATTAATCTATCAAAACGTAAATTCTCCGTTGACTCGAGTCTACGAAAAACTTGTGACACATGTAATAATTTTAATAAAACTCTCTGAAATTATTAATTCTTATATCACTATGATTTATTAGCTTAAATTTTTTATATTCTCTTACATATAGTGAGACAATTCATTTAACAAAGTTGGTTGAATTTTTTTAACCTTTGAATTGTTAATATAAATGAAAATTTGAACAAGTGTACGTTTAAAAAAAAAAAAAAAAAAAAAAAAACTTTTTATTTTTCAATATCTCAAATTATTATTAATCAATTTCACAATAGATATTAATACTTTATGCTGTAAGTCATAATAAAAAAATCTTGCACTATACAATTTGCAAGAGAATCTCTATAACAGACTATAAAATTTTTAAAATAGCTTGCAATTCTGAGCGATCTGTGGATAAATACTTATATACAGCCTTTGTGAATTTCTACATTTTATTTTATAATCAATTACAGTTTGTCGATATTTTTAATAAAAATTATATTTTAATATTATCGTTAAATGTAGAGGTCTTGAATTAAAATGATATAAGATACTCTGCTATTTAGTTAATATACAACATTTACAACTTTATACAAATTTTACAACAATAGTTACAACTTTTCTACTATCAATGTATTTTTTCCCTATTTAACATTGCATTTATATAAACTTTGAATAAAAATATTATTTCAAGTTACAATAATCATCATTTATCAATCGATAATATTTAGATAAATGTGCTCATTTTATTAATTATTATCTCTTGATACTCGTCTCGATTATTTAAAATTCAAAACAGAAATTCTTTTTTTTTTACCTTCGCTTCTTAATCGTCATTGATATTTCACTAAACACTGTCTCTAGCATTGTAAAATTAATAAAAAAAATTAACAGTTTAAAAATATAAAACTGATATTGACATATGAACGCTTAATTATTGAAATGTAATTAATAGTTTTTCTAAAAAAAAAAAAAAGTTAATTTAACAATTGAACTACATTATTTTACTTTTTTTTTTTTATATTTCGAATTATTAAATATGATATTATTGCATATTTTTGTTCTTATAATACACTTGTAATTTGTACAATTTAAATTTTTTTCACCAGAGAGCAGCAATATAAAGAATATCAAGTTCGTTGACTTTCAGCTAATGAAATTAAGCAGTCCACTCAACGATATTCCGTATTTTATTTGCGGGAGCGTCGATATTAACACCATAAACGAGCATTTTGACGATCTTTTGGATACTTATTACACTAAATTCATAAAAGTATTAAATTCAGTTCACTGCGATGTTTCACCCTTCACAAGAAAGACTTTTGATGAAAATCTGAAATTACAAGGGCAAGCAGAATTATTACATTGTTTGCTAGCGGTTAAATTTTTTACTATTGAAATATCCAATGAGCTCAATTTGGACGACTTGAAGTCCTCGATCATAATGAAGGATGCATCTAATCTGTTCCTCGATCGCTCGTACACAATAATTTCCAAATTTATTGAAAAAGAATGGATTTGAGATATAAGCAATATTAGGTAATAAAATTATTCATAAAGAATAGCAGAATATATTTGCATAGAGTTGTTATTACTTATAACAGGATATATAAATAGAAATATAAAATGTGTTTGAAAATAATAGTATCTTAAAAATGATTGAAAGATCATTTTGCTTTAATTAAAAATTTTTTCTTTTTTTATATTATTACTTTAGAAAATCAAAATTAATAACAATATTTGAAAAACAAAAATGCCGCTAAACAAAAATGTTATAGAGTATAATTATCATAACTATTTATACATACAACATAGGTCTTGTATTGTAAAAGTTTTTAATATTTTATTATATGTTTTCGAGTAAAAAATATTCAAATAAGTATCTCTTAAGTTTCAAGTTTAGTGCAAGGCGAAAACGGTTTAAAACTAACGATGTTATTAAAAATTTTGCAAATGTAATCTATGCTATAGGAGATAATTAATTTAATATATTTTTTTATAAAGCATTATAATTTGTAATTACTGACTCTACTTTAAAAAAGTGTACATAAATGTAAATATATATTTATATGCATTTAAATTCACTGCCTACACCTATGCGTCCGTAGCTGTGTACGGATGTATGCGGATGTCAAAAAATGTAAAAAATATATATTGTCTATTTAATGGCAAAATTACTTCATTCGTTGAATTTCGGTTTTATTTACTTCTTGATATTATTTATTTTATTTGTAATTATTATAATAAAATAAATGAAAAATATATTTAAGAGCAGTAAGAGCTGTACTAATTCCAAAATTCCTTGTAAAATAATAATTGAATTTAAAAATTAAGTCATGTCGACAAAGAAACATATCTACATATATAGATTTAAAAAGATTAAAATTTAATGTTAGTTTGAAAATTTGTAAAGAAAAAAAAAAAATAATGTCAAAATTTGGAATATATTTTCATGGAGATTTTTGTAAATATTTGTTGTACATTTAAAATTTATGAGTAAATAAATGAAATATATTCATATTAAATAAATTATTGTAATTCAAATTCATACACTGCACACGATTTAGAATATTTACTAATTTAAAATATATACATTATTGGTTATAAAAAGGCTTTAATATAAATCTTACGTATTTTGATGAAAATATTGATAATTATAATTGAAAATTATATTATAAAATGTTAATGACTAACAAATTGATTGAATGTTAAAAACAAATATACTTTTACTTTTCATATTTATAGTATACACAATACATATGTAAAAAATTCCAATAAAGCATCAATAAACAAACATTGTTCATTATAAATTAATATTGTAGTAATAAATTTAAATAATCTATATAATTGATGTACTCTCAATAATTATTAATTATTCATGCTTCACTAATTTATTTTGAACATTTGTCATTTTTAATTGTTCATTTATCGTAAAATTCCTACAAATTTTCTTTATTGGAATAATATTCAGTAAACATTTCGTAATTATGTCAATGAATATAAACATTATATATTATCACATTAGCGCATACTATAAAATAATACATCATTATTAATATTAAAATTGTCATTATATAATCAATACCTCATAATTAAGCTATTTATTTTCAAATTCTATAAAAATTTCTTCAGTAATGATAAAGTAATTTGAGCTTCTTAAAGTATAAATCCTCATAACTTTTTTTATAATTTATATAATTGGCTTTTATAATTGATTAAAAAAATCATTAATTTCAACGTTTTAATTTCATTTATAAGTATTTGCTTTTGCGATAAATTTATCTTAAAGTGCAATACACGTTACAAATATCCAAAGCCTTGCAATATTAACATATTATAAACCTTTGGCATTCAAACAGAATAGAATATCAATTAATCGTAACATTTTTCAATGACGGCTACTAGAAATTATTATTAACAGTATGATAAACCTTTAATATAAAAATTTAGTGCCAATAATTTCAAAAATAAACATTATAAATATATATTTTCATGATTATGAAAGTTTTAATAGTATTTCACTATTAACTTTTAGTCTTAATTTATTATAATTATATAAAATAATTTTTTCAAATTACTAAGGTTAAGATTAAGTTTCTCAATTCTTAACACTGATTTTTCAATATATTCTTTCAATAATAGTTTGCAGGTTAAATTAATAATTTTATTTTATATAATTTGATGCTCATGGCATTAGATATTTTTTTCAAATAGCTAATTAAACTTTTAGATAGAATTTTATAATAAATTAAAATTTTAGTAGAGAAATTTCTTTGTACATAATGTATTCGATAATTCGTTAAAATATTAAAAGAAATTTATACTTAAATGAAGCTTCAATATTTAATGAACAAAGTAAAAATAATGTTAATTTGAATGAATTTTTTTTATGTAATTGAAGTAAATAATTTGATATGTCTCATTCTATTTAACCAAATTGAGAAAGAAATATCTATAGATATTCTTAAATTAATTCGTATTTTTCATTTTTTTATTTTTGAGTTTAAATATATATATTAATATAAATGTAACAAAATACTATATTTTCAATAATACTTGATTTAATAATTTATAAGCTCATAGTATATAATTTTTTACAAAGAAATTACATAAAAATTTACAAATAGTTTTTCATATTTTCGTTAGTTTTGGATTATAAAGAAATATTTGGAACTTATTTACTATTGGTCTGTTAAGCCATTCAAAATCTGAAAATTGTTATTATTAAAACATCTTAATACCACTTATACTAAACTTTTAAAAATTATCTCTAAAAGTACTAATATGTAAGCATTTATTTACTTCGTACAATATTTGCAGTTGATTATTAATTATTGATAATTAATAGCCTAGATCATGACAAAATTAAAGCCTTAATAGTTATAAAAAGTTATTATTATAAATGAATTTTGTCTACAAATTTGTTTTGAGACATACAATTTTATTAAATATTATGACAATCAATTGACATATATTTATACCACTACTATTCTATCTATGTTGAACAAAAATTTTTTAAACTAAAATTATAGTTTAACATATAATAAATTTGTTAAGCAAATTTAATTGATATATATATAACTAGTAAAAATTAAAAGATAATTAATGGAAAGTTTTATTTTCATACACAATATAAGCATGGAACACCAATTACTTTTATAAACTATATATACTAATTTTTTTAACGTACACTATCATTTCTTTTAACTATTTTTTGTAATGTCAAATATATTATTAACTTCTAATACTTAGGAATTAATATATTTTATATTTGAATTTAATTTTTAAAATGTTATTTTTTTTATTAGTCTTTAATATTTAATATTTTTATTTAAGCATCAACAGTTTCATCTACAACAAGAGCATGTTGGACGGATGTAGTCGTAATTTTCAGTGCAGCTAACTACTATATTTTCTTTAAACGAGAGTAATTGTTTTCTAAGTATTCGCTTAAGAAAAGATGTTATGCACGTAGGCAATTACGACACCACTTAAGATTGGCATTTGCTGTCATATCATCATTTGCAGTAAATCACTAATAAGTCTTGCATTCCAATCTTATGTCAATGACACAATCAGAATTGCCTGTTGCCGGTCTATTTTCGATTTTATCGCCGATAGTCCTTGAGCAAATATTGTATAAATATTAACACCAACCTCTTTAAAAATGTAAATTTTCCTTATTCATTGCCTATTGGTATAAAGATAACGTAGGGATATGTTTTCTTTTTAATTTGCATTATTATAATAATTTCAATATGTTAATTTGTTATTTTGTTATATGATTACAATTAGTATGTTGTCATTCGCCATCAAATGTAAAAAATGGTTAGGATTTCATAATTAAATATTTTCCAAATAAAATATCAGAATCTTTAACATTTATTTGTATTTTAAATTATAAATTATAAATTATAAATTAAATAAATTTAAATAAATAAATATAAATCGAATGCTCTCACATTCAAAAACATCACAAAACTTTGATTTATAGTCGCAAAAATTTAGTTTTATGCACAAATAAACACCGCTCATACGTTAAATAAAGATATCGCTTAATGATATTATCTAATAAGTGACATAATTATCAACTAATAACTGTTACAGATTACTAAAAGGGAAGCGCAACATTAAGTAAAGGAAATTCACATATTTAAAAACAACAATATATTATTGATTAAATGATAAATTCACTTATATTCGCTACAGTAAAATAAAAGTACAAACAGATATTGAATTCAGAAATGTAAAAATATTTTTTTTTATTTATAATCTGCTCGAATTTCGAGTTTATTATATTTTACGATAGTAGAGATTTTGATTTAGTCGAAGTCAATGGACTACATATTTTATAGTCACTTTCACAAAGTAGATTCATTTCGTAAATTATGGCTGATAATACTATCGACAAATGAAAACTTTTTGGAAGCAATTGATATTTCCATAAAAAAAAAAAATTCAACATTAATCATAAAATTCAACATAACATCGTATATATAGGAAACTAACGATGAGTTTCATTCGTCGACTTGTTTTTTTACTTTACGAAATGTATCTTCTTAAAGAATTATAAACTAGCTAATCATTACAATAAAAGCGACGATTTATCTGACTCTTTCATTTTCTTATTTCAATTATTTATTTCTATTATTACAGATCATTAAAAATATGTAATCTGTTTTTTAATTTAATAACTTTTATACATGGACTAACGATCGAAATTATTATTCGTTATAAAAATTAAAATATTCGAAATTATCATAAAATTGCTTTGTTGGCTACTCGCTCTCGATAATAAATTAAAGGAAAAATTAATTAAATCTTTCTTTTATTGAAAAACAATACTTATTTTTTTCATAATATCGACATTATTATAAGAATTAATATATTTATGAAATTAGGTAATTGTAAAAATATATATATATATATATATATATATATTATAGCATACTTTTTTCGTCAGTTGCTTATGGGGGTTCAGAATAAAAGGCACATTTTACACATACATGCAACTAGATATAGTTGGGAGGAAATTTTTTCTACATTATGTTTCGAATGGCTTCAATTATACATAACGATTTTTATTTTAAGTTACCAACTCTTAATATTGATATATATGCCTGATCTACTCGACATTGAACTTCATGAACGCTATTATCAAATCATTTTAAGTAATGTATTTTAATCTCTCTCTGTCTGTCTCTCTCTCTCTCTCTCTCTCTCTCTCTCTCTCTCTCTCTCTGTATACAATTTTCTTTATAGTATGTAATTATTTAAATATGTATTCTAGATTATGGATTTTTTTATATTTTTATTCATAACATAATTTAATTCTTGACTCTGTGCGTAATTAATTACATTAGATAAGTTTATTTAAGTAAAAACATATTATTAAATATTAAATATCAAATTGAATTATTATTTTTTGTAAATAAAAGAAATATTATCAACATGATATTTATCTGCTTGATCTAATAAAGTACCAGACTAACGCTTTAAATTTAATTTAACTTACAGATAAATATCTAATAAAATATTTACATACAGAATTACACAATTTAATCAATAAGATTCTAAATTTAGAGAAAACTAACATTATACTGTTTTATTTAGGTTTAAACGAATAAATTAGATGGAATTACTATCATCCTAACAACTTGAGTAGTTGAATGAGGTCGGATGCTTGTAGCAAAATATCCCTATTATAAAACTATGCTACGGTTATAACATCCTTTGAATTTTTTAGCCGACAATTAATTTTATATTAAAATATTCCAAAAAAAAAATGTTATGTTCTGAGTACATGAATTAAAAGATTTTAAACGAAAAAATTCATTAGATAACCGAAATAATCGAGAGGCCCTTACGTGAAAAATATATTATTCATATAAGCTAAAAATGGCTGAATATAAAAAATCGACATTAAAATATAAAAGATTTAAAAAAAAAAAAAAGCCAATTATCAAATCAATTATAAAGCGCGGATAGTGAAGTAGATATATCAAATTCTAAAAAAAATTGTCGTGAAAATATCGTGGAAGGTACAAGAGTAATGTAGACTGATCGAGTGTAATCCATTACAGAAATCAGTCTGAAAATTATTATTGCATTAAACACAAATTGACACTGGTCTAATTCAATAGGAACTGTTGATTAACCGACTAGTTAATATCGTTCAAACCTGAATTCTTTGTCATGAAATGTTTTCAATGGAAGTAAAAAATAAAAAATGTTGCACATATTAGTCTACAGTCGATAAAATATGTTTCAAATTTGTATATATATATATATATATATATATATATATATAATGTTGAAAGTGTTTACTATAAACGATATCAAAAGTAGAGATATCGTACCATTGATGAAAATTTTTAATGTGAAATAAATGTACGAAGAATGTACGAAGAAAATACAATTAGTTTCCATTTATTTACTAAACATTCAATTCTAAATGCGATCTACAGCATTTTATTATTTACATAGTAAAAATATTGCTACTTAGTATGGCAAGAAAGACGAGGTTATCATGTTTATTCAAGTATCTATAAGTTCTACTCGTATGGACAATAAAGTAAAATAATTAATTGTAAAAATAAAATTTCAAAATAAAGTCATGAATTTAGATACGCACATATTAAAAGCCATTTAACTAACATAGAAATACCTTCTCCTAAGGATATTTAGACATATTTGAAAGTAGAATATTTATTTTACTTTGAATGCGGATAAGTAACTGTCGAAAAATATAATTTATCTCTATAAGTTATTAATTTATATCACGAATAGAAATACATCAGCCAAATAGGCAAAGCGGATATTTCTTTTTACACATTGAAGCATTTCAGCAGTTAATTATGAAAATCATTTTATTACAACAATATAGTTACGTTAATATCTTAATATCTAAAATGTCATTCTTTTTTCAATATTGTTAAATGCAAAAAAATGTCTTCTCTTTCTTTTGTAAGATTAGTTACTTTATTTTGTTTCAATACTATCAATTCATTTCTAAGTTAATGAAAATTGAGTTAGAAAAATATTTCACTGCATTATTTAAATAGTAGATTGGCCTGCAATCTGTCGATGGAAATATGAAAAATTTCCCTTTTCCATCATAGACTTCATGCTACTGCTATATTTAAAAAACCAATTTATTAAATTATATAGCGCAATCATCTTTTTATTATGCACCTAATTTAAACATTATTTGTTAGTATTTCATCAATATTGATCAAAACTTGAAATCGTTTGTTAATACCATGTCTAATTTCGTTTTTCTAATTTATTATTTATAGGCGACTAATAATTATGTTGAAAAAAAAAATCGCACTAGTGGATATACATGTGAAATAAGTATCTTCGACATTGTCTTATATACATTTCTATGTCAACCGAACCAGAAACATATTTTGTAATCCCCTATTTGTATTATGAAATAATCATAATGTATGTTAAAATATGAAATGAAAAAAAAAATTTAACCTTCACATACATAAAAAATAATGGTAAAAATTTTATATATATTTTCATATACATATATACACTTTATAAAAATCGAGTTATTTTATTCGTTATTTAGAATAAAAATTGTGTATGTTTATATACCTGTTAATAATAATACAAACAATTTTAAATGGACAGAAGGAGGTTCTTTCGTAGTTACAAAATAATACAGAAATTAAGAGGCTATAATAATTTTTTTCATAACATTATCTAATAATTACGATAAATATTCTTCCATAAATATTATCATTTGATCTCTTTTTCTATTTCAATTTCTATGCATCTATGTATTTCTAGTAGATTCAATTCAATGTGTCATATAACCCCAAAAACATCTACCGCCTGTAGAGCTAATTTTTATTAAATAAATTATAATAAATGCGTTTATTTACGACATTATATATAAGTAAATATGTATATATATATATATATATATATATATATATATATATATAAACATATATATATTTATATTATATATTGTAGTGTAGTAATAAATAACAAATAACCATCAGAGGCAGATTAATTATTTACGAAATAAGTTATTTTATAAATAAATTAACAGAATTTAAAATTAATGTAAAAGTTTAACATATGATATAAGATGGCATTGATAAAGCCATTATTATATAGAATATATAAAAATACAACACTTTTAGTCAAAGCTTATATTAAATTGCATTCCTGAAAATCTGATATAAATAATTGCTACAAATTAATAAGACAACAGTAATATTGTCCAAAAACTGTATAATATTACAATTAATAATATTGCATGGGAATAAAAATAAGTATTTGAATTTGTTTAACTAACTATCTCCGAATATAAAATTAGGAGAGAATTATGAGAGTTCATTATATATTTATTAACAAGGCATACAATAAAAAAAATATATGGAAAAAAAAATTTAACTGATCTAATGAATTCCTCGAATGATTCAATTATGCAGAGATTTCAACGTATTTATAAATATTTATATATATTTATAAATATAAATATAAATATCAATATAAATAAATATAAATATTTATATATATATATATATATATATATATATATAACGTATTATGATACCGCCATTTTGGCAGTTACTAGCATATGTTAGTGTAATGAATTATATTAGAATCCTGACTTGTATTTCCATTAGGAAATAATAAAAGTTTATTCATTATGAACTCTCGTAAATTCTTTTTTGGATACTATCTGAACTTCATTTTTTTTTTAACTTCAAAGACACATTTTTTAAATATATGTTCTTATGAAGAAATACAATCCGTTACGATTTACTTGAACTACAACAAGTAGAGCAGTCGAAGCAACTAGTATGCTATCTTTTATTTAACCACATGGAACCTCTATTACTAGTACCAAATCCAGTGTTACTACTTAACTGAGTCTGCAGATCAATTACAGATCCCTGCAATATTTTTTTTTCTTTCAATAAGACTGATATGTCTTCTTGCGCTACATTCAACGAAGACCGAAGTTCTTCCTTGGTTCTTCGAAGCTTCGAATTTTCTTCTGACAAACGTTCCATAGTTACGAATCTTCGACGTAGTTCCTCGTTATCTGACTGCAGCTGTTGATTCATTTCTTTCAAAATACTCATCTCTTGTTCCATAAGCTTGATATGTTGAGTAATGTCTTCGTTAAAAGTCGCAGCCCTATCTTTGCTTTCTTTCAATGCATTTACTGTAAATAAGAGATAATTCAAATATTTATGTTTCATGATAATTAAAAATCTATTATCAAAAACACAGGCAGATTTATAATTAATTTATTTTGTTTAATTGATGTACTATATCATTGAACTTATTTTTAACATGCTTTTTTAATTAAGATAATCTCATTATGAATTTCATTATAAATCACGTAATAATAAATTAGCTGATAAATCAAGGCATTTCTAAATAATAGACTTTATATTCTAAATTCATTTGAAAAATCATAATATAAGTTAAAAATACTCTTATAATTGTGTATATACAATAAAAATACATAATGAAAATATCTATTATTTATATTGTCAATTTCTACGTATTACAGCAAGTCGTCATGCATTAGTATATATAAATACATTTAATTTGAAGAATCTTCAATAAAAGAAAAAAAAATGGTAGCTAAAGCTTCAATCACTAAATCTACATTTTTCTTTCTAATTGTGTTATTAGAACTAATGCTCACAGTCGAAAGGCCTTCTGAGTGAACAGAACAATTATACCAGATGAGTAAGAATCAAATTATGTTTTGATGAAAATTTCTGCCACTTTCATTACAGAAATAAATCAAATTAATACAAAAAGCATTTCAGTAAAACCTACTATAATTAAGTTTATAAATAAGTTTAGAACAGAATGCATTTTACTCATAATCATAATTATAGAAAATGTTTCAAAATTGCACAATATTGTAGTATTTTATTATGTGAGATCAATATTGAATACTTAGTATATATAGTGCTGCTACCGATATGTGGCAAGTTAAAATAAATTATTTATTTATTATGTTTAAATTTGCAAACACTTACCAACGGGTTCTATATGAAAAACTCTGGAGATATTTCTCGTTATTTTAAGCTTGGAAATATTTAGATCTATTGGAATCGGTCCAGGTGATGTTATATTATTAGGCGGCCGATCTTCATTTAGATGCAATGTTATATTTTCTATCAATATCTACAATAATAATAACAATAATAACAATAATAACAATAATAACAATAATAACAATAATAATAATAATAATAATAATAATAATAATAATAATAATGATCATAATAATAATGATAATAATAATATTAATAATGATAACAGCAATAATAGCAATAATAACAATTATTATTACTCCTTTTTTTTTTACTTGGTAGGTGTTTAAAAAATATATTTATCAAAATTTGATAACAATTATATTAAATATTTATAACGAACGCTTACATTTATAGACTAAGATTTATAAAAATTACCTCCAATGGTATTGGTTTATGTATAATTTCATCCTCAATTAAGTCGCTTAAGCCCGTGACTGAGCTCATTGCAATAGTGAATGGTATATTAGCAACTTTCACCTCAATTTTATCCTCAAAAAGATTTAATATAACTTCTTTATTATCGAAATTAATACTGTTGGCAATATGATCGGTATCAGTGACTTTATTCGGATCCTGTAAAGATAGAATATCGCCACCACTACTTATAATTTGACTTATTTCTGAAAGATTTTTCATATCTTCTTGATTTCTCAGACAATGATCCAAACGCAACTTGATACGCGATCTACAGTCTGAATCAGACGGAAGCTCTACCCAACCTCTTGATCGGGATGTGAATTTTGTCTAAAGAAATAACGGGATATTATATATTTTTGCACATTTTCATTTCATTTGCACTAGCTTTATATTAGACTAACTTTCCTCGAAAGCAATTAAGGGCACATTATAATATTATTACCTACTTTATTACCAAAACTCTTAGACTTTATTACTAAAATATAATTACATTAATATCTAATGAAAAAAAAAAAAACTAAATTTTGTCATTTACTGATAGAAAAATCCTTTTTTTAATTCTAATTTCTAATTTTTTTTTTTATTTATATTTTATTATTTTTCAAAAATCTATGTATTTTATAGTAGAGCATTAGTATTACGAATACATTTACAAAAAAAAAAAAAAAAAAATGGTTCAAAACGATTCAACAAATCGTAAGTATCATTGATTCAATTAGCAATTAATATTTATATTTATGTTGCTGAAAAAATCCTAAAATTTGTCTTAAATAATTTCACAAGAATAATTTAACGAGCAGAATTTATATTAAAATATACTAAAAGTAAAAGGCTGTAGAATCAAAAATTAAATTCAAACGTGTTAATTCAAAATAAAGTATTACTTTCAGATCTAACAACTACGTTTAATTTATTAAATACACATTTTAATCAGATACAAAAAATATTAAAAACATGCTTGCAACAAGTAAACAAGACAGTCAACTTTTTCCACAGAACTTATTTTAAGCTCAATTAGAAAAAAAAGCAAATAGAGAAACATCGTTTTAATTAAATTAATTTAATTAAACTTATTAATACCGCATAATAAGAAAATAGAAGAAAAAATTTTTTAGATAGATTAAATATATAGATAGATGATGACATTATGACATCTGTATTTGCTTTAACAGATTACTAAAATAGAAAAATTACACTATCAACTTTGTTACAGTACTATTTCTATGAAAATGTTATTCAACAAAATGAAAAAAAAAAAAAAAAAAAAAAACTATAAATTGAATGCCTCAAAAACGCATCTAAAAATTCCAGACAAAAATTGTTCGTGAACAGTTTTTATAAATCTGATGATGTTTTGCATAAATTTGAATAATTTGTATAATTTTTATAATTTTGTATAAATTTATTGACACAGTACAAACGATCAGATGTTTTATGAACAAAAAAATTTTAAGAAAAATTTCGATAGATCTATATTTGAAAATAATTTTATTCCGAAGAAAATTAATACGAATTAAATGTAGAATATGCTTAAAATTTAGAAAATTAGAACATTTGTGTTTACAATATTTACACATACAATGCTTAAAACTTTTGCTCACTAATTTATCAATTTTCTAAGCATTTTATGTCTAGATGAAAGTTTTGGCGCATTTTCTAAAATATATAGTAAAATTCATGAATACTGAACGTTATATTTAAACAAAGTTCTAAAATATATTATTAATGTAAAACTTTTAGATAAAATGATTTAGAATTTAAATTCTAATTCGTCGTATTCATGCATTCACTTATGGTGGGTCGCTACTCATAAATTTAGTATAAAATATTTTGCCAATACCTTTTTCTTGGCCTGCCACAAGTGTCACATAAAAACATTCACAAGAGAAAGCATGCAAAAAGTTGAAAAACAAAATTTATATTGACATGATAAACCCACACACTCGTACGGACGGACTCGCTCGCTCGCTCACACGCACAATAAATTGATAATAAAATTGAAGATTAATAATAAAATTGAATATCGATAATAAAATTCAATATAATATAATAAAAAGAGTAATTAAATAATTTAAACAATAATATTACGTGTGTTTCTTTGCATGTCTTTGTGTGTGTGTGTGAGTCTGTATGCAGAATTGTTATTATAATTAAAAGTAAATTTTGTCATCAATTGTATTTATTTACTCTACTTTAAACATTTTTAAACATATATATGTGCGCGCGTGTGTGTGTGTGTGTGCGCGCGCGCGTGTGTATCGAAATGCTTTTTTTGACAACATACAACGATTGATTTTTTAATTTTCTATTATTACGTTTACTTTATGAAAATTAAATATACTTATAATTGAATTAATGATTATTACAGTCGGCTAAATTAATATTCAAGTTAAATATTAAGAAATCTTTGTGATAATTAGTAATATTATTGTTTTTCAATTCTTAACATTTAAAATGTAAGAAAATTAATCGCCTTAACAACAACTAACCTGAAATTCATCCCATGGTATAGATGAACATTCTTCATTGTCTACGTTACAAACTTGAATTTTAATTGCCGAAGAAAATCCAAGTGATTGCTGTATCACTTCAACTTTTGATAATTTGAAGGTCGTCATCGACACCTAATAATTAATCGATTTAAATAAATACCAAAAATACGTAAATAAAATTGATTGCCATTGATTATGATATTACTATATTAGTTGTGAATACATTAAAATAATGTATTTTTATAGTGAAGATTAAGTTAGATTTATATGAAAAATAATGATTTTACATTTGATAATTTATTGGATAATCTATAACAAATAAACTTCCGATTATGCAACGTACCAGATCTTTCCTTTTACATACGCTGTCCATTGATTTTTCGCTTTGTGTATCAGGAGTCTCTTCCACGACTTCGCTCGCTTCTTCAACAGCGATAATCGAATTATCAACATTAAAAACCGCATCCATTTTTTCATGATCCTCGAAGGATACAACAATGTCGTTTTCACTATCCGAGCTTACGTCACTTTGCATTGAAATTGTGTCACTAGCATCATCGGGCGATGGTTTTAAAGCCGAATCCAACGATGTCATAAGGTTGCTAAAACCCTTCTTCATAGAAGACAGATTGACATTAAAGTTATTTGGAATGATGCCGGACACTGAATCGGCCTTAGCAAGCTTTGGCTTCTCCTCCAACGTCTTCCTCGGCCATGACTTTTCCATCGCACTAGAAGGTATTACTTTCTGCTCGTCCCGCTCGGAGCCGTTCTGTTGCTTAAAGATAAGAATATTCTGATGGGCAGCGTTGCCGGAAAAATCAGTGAAATCCATCGAATTTATGGGAGTGATGTCGTCCTGAAATGTTACAGCATCATTGCTCGTATTATTTCGTTTGTTGCTATACTCCATACGCGCAGTTATTGTATGTTGACAGAAGTTGGATGAACCTCCAATATCGTCGATTATACTTGAACTGTCAGGCACTATGGATTCGAGATCGGCCCCGGAGTTTTCTTTGCCAGGAGTTTGAGATGGCATGATGAAAGTAACTTCAATTTGGGGAATCAAAGCTCCGATAATCAAGGAACCTGAGGTATTGCAATAATACATTATAGCATTATTGCCTTGTATTAATTATAATAATGTTCGTGTAATTATCTCGTTAACTCATTTACAGCGCACACAAATAGCCAAATGAACTTGTATAAAATTATGTTATATATATATATATATATATATATATATATATATATACAAATTTATATGTTTTTTATTAAATTTTTTATAAATCAATTGCATTTAACTTACCTCCAGATTCAACTTTTAAGATTTTATTCGAGTCGATGGACATGTACGTCGAAAGCTCAGAAACCAATTCGAACAGCCTCAGTAGAAACAAATATTGGTAATGATTGATTTGTACACTAATTAAATTACTGATATAAGCAAGGCCGTGAATATTTGCGGTATCCGATGAGTTTTCTGACTTGGAGTTATTCATGTGAACCCAAAGCGTTAGGGGAAAAGCGTCGAGAAAGGGTACTGGACGATTCGACCCAACTGCTCGAGCTCCAAAAAAGTCGCCCCAAACCGGTTCCATATTACAACACCAAACGTCCTTCGCTTCGGTCCAAAGAAGCTCTCTAGTCAATTGACGGACCATTTCATTAATGGAATTACTCGAGAAATTCGGTGGAAGAGATCTAATACAATCCGTTCCTGAAAATCATAATGAAAAATTATTAATAGTAAGCGATTGGAACAAAATGTGAGAAAAAAAGTTTATTCATTTCTTGTAAAGCAAATTGTTTTGAAAATTTTGATTTCATACAATAAACTAGAATAAATTAAATTTTATTACGAAATGAAAGGGTTTAAAAATTAACCGATACTTCATGATTTTCACCATTAATGTTTTTAATTTACCAATAAATCCATTACTATGTAATTCCATTTATTTATTATAATTATCTTATGTCTTTATATATATATATAATGGATAAAACATTAAAGTATGGATTAGTTAGAAACTTTTTTGTTTAAATTCCATTTACGTGTAAATATTTAAACACTTTGATTATTTTGTAATGACACGATTAAGAAAAAATATATTAAATTCAAATAATCTTCTTTTCTGCTACTTATTACTTAGTTAAGATCACATTATTATTGCAGTACAGTCGTAGAGTATTTTGACTTATTTACCAGCACAATGTTCGAAGAATTTGTTCGTAATTACGTGAAAATCTCCACTTTTGTTAGGAAATTCAGAGCCAAAAAACATTTGACCCATTTGGAAAGCATTAAGGCATTGTGCTAAATCAGCTCTTGATGAACTTTCGGATGATCTTACATTTGTTATAGTTGCTCTCGACGTTTGCATATGCAAAGACTTTGGTCTATCCTTTTGATTAGGATAGTCTTCGAGACTTTCAAAAATTATCTGAAATAAAGTAGAAATTCATTATGAAAACATACTTTCATCATTATAAATTCTTACAACTCTGCATTAAAAGCTTTATTAATTTATTAAATTCTTATTTTTTTTAATTTAAATATAAAAATATTTATTTTTATATTATTACTAATAAATTTATGTTGCAAAAATTTGTACAAGGACACTTAGACTTTATAAGAATAAATAAAATCAATCATAATTAATAAATACAACTCACTCTTGGCAATATTGCTTCGATTTTCACATCAAAATACATGAAGTTGGAAGAGGCGCTTGCCATATTGCTGTTATTATTCAAAAGTGAATGATATAAGTTGAGAAGGAATGAATTGAACCAAAGACAAGAGCAGACATCAAAGTTTATCTGAATGGGGTTAAGTTGTACATAAAATTTTGGAGGTGGTACTGTGGAGAATAAAAAAGTTTTAAATTTTAAGATACTTTAAAAACATAAATTATTTGACATTTCGCTTACATGGAAAATTAAGATCTCCAGGATAATAGTAATAAGTAAACTCGGCATGAAGTATATTCACGTTCTCTGGTAAGCAGAATCTTTCTCTATCACCTAAGCAAAGTTTACATATGAAATATAAAAAATACATTTAAAAATACACGTAAATATGAATTTATAAACTTTAGCTTATTAATTATTTTAAGTTGTTAAATATTAATATTTTTAACATAAAGTGTATAAATGGTAATGTAAATTATTACAATGATACATTCTACTTCTATTAAATAATACTGTGTATGCAAAATGAAAAAAAATGCGAACGAGTGATTTCTACAAATTTATATTATTTATACCTGGACCACATTTTTTCCTCGTTTGCGCTATATAAGTATAAAGTATTTAAAAATTATTTTTTAAAATAACGTATAAAAGTTTTTAATAAAAAAATTATGGATAAATGTATAACTATTAAAACGTTAATGATCGTATAATGAATATTACCTCTTATGAACTCTTTTGGAATCACTTTTCTAGATGATGTTGTTACTTTGTATAAAGTGAAGTCATCTATTCTAATAACAATGCATGTTGTCATCAATTTTGCTAATTGCTCTAAAACGTAATTTTTTACAGGATTTCCACTAGGATATTGCATTGATTTCTTTTGCTCTTGAGAATCTGAATTTTGATTTTGATTATTAAATATCTTGTCAGATTCTTTGAAGTTTCCTATAAATTAAATGTAATGAAAAATCATATATCACTGAAACGAACTTATTAATTTATCTGTCTCTCTTTATTAAATTAAGTGGTTTCATTTTATTATTTAAATTTATCAAAACTTAAACATAATTATTTTTATTGTTTGAAAAGAAAATTTGAACGTCAAATGCAAGCATAATAGTAAAATTAACTTGTTAATTACTTAAATTTTTTTAAAGTTTAGTTAGTACTTAAATTTACTTAAAGTTTGAACATAATTTTGTCGTAAATGAAATATGCTCGAGCTCTTTCATTAATCACTCAGAATTGCAAAATATTTCCTGTTGAAGAATCACACGAATGTCTATTAATCTTACGTTAAACGGTTAATCAATGAGAATACTCGAAGGGATGAAGATAAAAAAGAGAAAACGTACCAGCTCCAACATTGCCCTCAATTTTTGTTAATGGAGAATTTTGAGTTCTTCCAGAATCAATAAGATCCATAAATTGACCTCGAAAGGCATTAAGAGACTGTTGTAACCATTGACCATGTGGTATAGTATTCTCTTTATACACAGCCCAATGCTTCCTATCCGCTAAAGCTAAATGATACGGATAATAGTCCACTTGAAACTTAATTAACGATATTTGCAGTGCACCACCTTCTTTTAATTCAGGATGTACCGATCGGCCAGCTGATGATAATTATTTACATTTTATTCATTTTATTTTAATTCTGAATTTACGGTTATACTTTCATAATATATCGTGATATTGTACTTACATCCCATATCATCGCAAAGATGCAAATCTATTCTCTGAGAAAGGAAATGATATGACGTTTCCACAACGTCGTACTTACTAAATATTTTTGCAATGACTGTATTACTTTGGCTTTTGCTTCTACTTTGTTGAGAAACTTGGGCTTGATATTCTGGTAGTACCTAAAATATGAAGGAGTCAATAATCCATTTTGCTAATTATGTATTTTAATTCATGTAATTGAAAGACGAACCTCTAATTTTCTAGCAGCCTTCGTTTTTCTCTCTAAAATTGTTGATCGTTCAATTAGCCCCCCAAGAGAATCAATGAAGTGTAAAGCAGCTTTTAGTTGAGAATCGGTTAGAACCCACAAAAGATCATCAAGTATAATAACCAATCGAGATCCCATAACAAAACAGTCTATAAATAAAATATATAATGTAAATATCCTTAAAATAGATATTCATGACATTTTATAGAAAAGATTTACCAGACAGTCGTTTTTTAATAGTTACTCTACATCTTGCTTGATTTGTAAGAAGACGAAGAGGTGAAATATCATTATCATTAGTACTTTGTGCTTCTATTCTTACAGTTTGCCATTCCAATTCCTTAAAAATTAATAACTGACCCCTATCGGGATCTTTTACTCTTGTTGTTCTCAAATCACATCGTTGCCACGTTGGTGACTTTGATTCAACTATTATGCGAGACATCTCAAAGTAAAATGAATAAATTATGTTTAATAATTATCAATCAACAAATTTTATAAATTATTTATAAGCATTCCCAACATTATTAATATAATACCTGAACTTTAGCGATAAATGCAGGACTCTTAAAAGTAACTCTAACAGTATTCACAGATACAGTTATGCCATCGATAATTTTGTGAATATAAGAATATTTTGTAGGTCCTGTGTTAGAAGATAAACCTTGCGAGGAAGATACATCCCTTAAATCTTCGCAAGTTTCAACTTCTATATGAACTTCATCCAAACTCTAAATATCATATAATACTTAAGATTAAAATATCCAATACCATATAATATTATGATTATAAAGAAAGTTTGTTGAAAATTTTTAAAATTAGTAGCTCACCAAAAATATAGGAACATTTTTTAACTTGGTCCATTGAATACGAAAAGTAACTTTGTTGCACCATGCACTGGTCAATCTCAACCATGACGGTAATTCCAATAAGTCGGTTAATACAGTTTCATCTAGTTCAAGATTTGTTAGCTCACCTTCCCCTTTAAATGTGCTCAAATTAATTTTGTCAGCTGATAAGTTTTTTGTAAATCTGTAATTAATAAGAAGTTTAATATAATATACAGAATTAATTTAACAATTTAATAGGTAGAAACAAACTATTAATGAATAATACGGTTATTCAGATTCTCAAAAGACTGCGAGGATTAATGTAATAATAATGAATTAATACAATAATAATTTAAGGTAATAATATTAATACTTATTTGACAAAATAAAATCAAAATAAATTTACTGCAGAAGGAACTGACTAAAACTGATCGTAATGATGTTGACGAACAATTTTCTTTCATTTATATTGTATTTTATTTATATAAAATTAATAATGTTTGAGGGGGGGGGGGAATTATCTTATTTGCATAACCTAATTGCAATAAGCCCAGGTATATACAAAATTCTTTCGCTCCCTATAGTCTCTAATCTTATAAATTTAATAAAATAATCTTTATGATTATGATTAACGACATGATTATATAAAAGTACATTCGCATTTTCAATAAATGTTATCGAAGTATTGGGATTAATTCACAAACAAGCCTACTTTTATGTAACAATTCAGACTCAAAAGTATTTTTTATTGATTTTCTTTTATCGATGTGAAATATACATTGTTAAGGAAAAGACAAACGTTTGTAAAATTGTACTTAAATAAAATTAAGAGAAATTACACCAGGTCGTTTAAATATAAAGGTACGGTTTAACAGCGTGTAGGTAACGTTTAGGAAGCAACGTGGTCATTATTGCTTGTCAAAAATATTTACAAAATTAAACATACAAAATATATCGAAAAAGCAACACGCGCAGAATATACGTAAAGCACGTACACTCACCTTGACAGATGTTTCAACAACTGGTTTTTGATAATAGACACCATTTTTCCTTAAAATCTTTTATTAATCAACAAAGTTCAGACCATCATTGTTAATGCCTAAGCGAAAGCTGGATGAAATGTCAGTCGGGAGAAATTTTTACTACAGAGCCAAGCAAAGTGCCAAGCAAAGAGCCAAGTGAAGAGAGATACGTACACACTCACGCCATATACGTGCAAATGGAACTGGCAAAATTAAATCGCGGGGGCTTTTGTGGTACCATGTGCACACTGAGATTGAGAACCGTCGGCGCGCTATTTTATTCTTTCGAAAAATTGACAATGCGTCCACATCGGCTATTAACACTTATATAATGGACTGTACGCTCGAGACGAACATCCGAGGACGAAACGCGCGTGCGAGAAGAAATGTTAAGTAAGCTTCTTTTTTTAATGACTGATTTGTTGGTAAAGGAGAAATTCTATCCATAGAATAAATTCATGCGAAGTTAGTCATTTACATTATTAAGGTGGCGCCTCGTGCCTAGCTGCACTGATAAAGTATATTTATTGATAACTGATTATAATGCGAAAGGTGTATTTACCATTGCTATTAAAGGGCACATATTCAAGTCTTTGTCTCATTATGTCATCATATAGAATTGAAATAGCAAACCGAGATGATTGAAGCACAAAGTATATATTCGTTATAATAATCATCCTAACTGCATATGACAAATAAACTTATATATTTATTTTCCAACTATTTATAATTATTTACAAGCATAAGAGCACAAGTTCTTTTGGGACAATACGACGAAATACTATGTAATACTCTATTTACGCAAATTGCGTAAGTAGCACTTATCTTCTATAATTTAAGTCTTAAATTAATGACAATAAATGTTATATATAATGATGATTTTTATTTTATTACATATCCTAACGATATATCCATAAAAATGTAACACGTTAGAATCATCACTTAAACTCTTTAAAATTCATCATCGTTTGAGAACGATGAGATTACGATTGAGAACAATACAAATAATAATATTTTTATAAGGAAATTACAAGCGATGCTTTAAAAAAAAAAAAAAACTACGCGAAAGTAACGCGTTGTATGGAAATTTTTAAAATTTAATTTACACTTCAATTCCAAAGAAATGGTAATCGTTACAGGCTTTCTAAAGAAATATATATTACTTGTACATCATAATGCACGCCTATAAGTAAGCTAAACAAAACTAAACATCCTTCCTTATGTTAAAAAAAAAAGAAAAACACAAAAATGTAAAATTTTCTGTTTTTTTTTTTTTTTTTAATAATTAGCAAGATCTTATAACAATGAAAAGAGAAACAGAAATTTCTGTTGATGAATCGTCGATTATAAAAATACAATTAAACAATATATTTAAACGAGTAAGATTAAAAAATATACATATAATGAATTACAAATATATATATATATATATATATATATATATACACATACATCGCTTCAATTTCTACTTTAAAAGTTTAATAGTAATTTATCATTCTTTACAAATATTAAATAATTTCTTTAAGTTGCTTATAATAATAAAACATTCGATAGTGAACTTGAAGTTGCCAAATCATTATCATTTAAAACGAAAAAACTAGAAGAAACATATTTAATTTAATAAAACGATTAAGTATTTTATATTATATTTATATATATATATATATATATATATATATATATATATATATTAAATAATTTATATATATTATTTACATTGGCAGTTCTAATCGACAAGATGTGGTAGTTCTTTTAACACGATCGTTTAAATAACAAAGATATTCAAGTAGCGATAAACTGATTCTCGATCAACTTGTAATGCATGAAAGCTTTATTTAATCCGTTTATGTAGTTTTGAATGAATTGCAATCTAAGCTATGTATTTGTATCACTTCTTAAATATCTATATAACATTATTTAATTCGCTGAAGGTATTGACATTTTATTGGGCTAACTATGAAGCGACTTGTTGTTGCTGATTGTTGGGCTTTAGTCACGAGTATATTTCTAATCAACGACTAAAATTTGCATAATTAGTATGGATCGAGGACTTCTTTTCCATCACTATTTAGATAATTTTGTATAAACGAATTTTAGTTCCCTAAAAGTTGAATATTACAATAAGTTAGGAATGAAAAATGTAAACTTTAGTGGATGTAAAGCATTGAAAGATTCTTAAGTCAATTTCTAATAATAAATACTTTCTATGTTTCATCAGTGTTCACTACTGTACTTGCTTGGGCAGTAAGCGATTACCATTACGTTCTACTTAAATAGCCGTACTTGAAAGGCTCATCACTAAATAGAAAAATAAAAAAATAAAAATTAAAATCTGAAAATTAATAAAATCGCATGATTCCATTCTCTAAATGTAAAAGGCTTTTCTAGGAAGCCTCATTTTCCAACTGAATGCTTTTCGCCCGAAGTAGTTTTGGAATATTTCAAAAATAAAATGGAAATGCCTGTAACTACAAATTGAAACATTCAAATTATACAATGTAAAATTTAACCATAACATCATGTACATTTGAAACTATTATTGTTTAAATGTTAAATTTCAATTAAGTTTCCATACAAATGTCGAATAATTTATCAAATATTATAATATAAATTCAATTCTAATCACGAGAATTGATTGACTATAATAGTGACTTTTTCAACTATAAATAACTATAATAGCAATACAATCTTTCATGATATTTTATTGATTAAGATTGGAAAATAAAATGAATAACAACGTATATAAAATCTATAAATACGAATTATGCGTTTAATAAATAATGCGGGCTGTTGTGAATTAATAATACAACAAGAACGAGTACAATTTAATAAAATCAATATTAATAAAGATTAATAAAAATTAAATTAACCTAATAAAAATTAAAATTAATTATTGACAACGTATTAGCAAAGAAAACGCAATAGCCAGCAACGATAAGCGGTTGCCTTATTATTGCAATAAAATATTAATATCTCCAATTAATAAAACGATATTACATAAATATTTGGGAAGTAATAGAAATGTAAAAGGTAGCTCTAGTCACGTCACAAATTAAACTACGTAAATATAAAATTTAATCTCTACAGGTAGATGATGGATTAACGTTCGCTCTATCGACAATTATACATATTTAATATTTATTTTATTACTTTACCATGTATTATTATTTTAAAATATTATATATATAATATTTTTATATTATATATATATTGGGGGGGTGGGGTGGAAGAGAGATAGAGATTGAACCTAATTGTTTTTTTTTGAGTTTATAATGACTGCAATTATTTAATTTTTTTTGTTTTTGTTTTTAATTATTGTAAACATTTTGTTAAAAACAATTACATTTCAAATTGTAGGATTTAATTTTATTTTATCGCAACTGAAAATATTTTTTTCTTCAAAATTTGACATTCTTTGCGCTATTTATTGTGAGGGCGATTATTTAATATTTTAATATTTAATATTTATTTATTTATTATATTAATATTTATTTATTTATTATATTTAATATTTATATATATATATATATATATATATATAAATAAATCCATATAATGTATATATTTAACTATTGCTTTATACATTTTAGTTTGTTAGTTATTTAATGTTTAGACAATTAAATATTCAAAACAAATAATAAAATTGTTAATTTTTTTTAAAAATATTATATTAATCAGAAAAAAACTTTTAAACTATTTGATTGAATGATATATTTAAGCCACAATATCATTTACAAATACAATTACAATACAATAACAAATCGCTGAATTAAACAATGATTTAAGTTCTCTTTATTATAATGTAAATTATATGAGTGGATGTATGTACGATAAATTGAATAATAAAAAATAATAAGAACTTAAGAAATATGTTAGTTGCTTGAATTAAAGTTTAATGGCTGAAACACGATTTTCCAAAATATAATAATTTTATTGAATTTGAACGAATTCGTTAATTTTTATTGTTTAAATTAACGTTAGCGGACAGTCAAAAGTGTAAATATCGAAAAAATTTTAACATTTGGACATACCAATGCATCCCTATATTATGCCGTTCGCTACTGATCCTCATAATGAACATTGAATTTAATTTTTAGATTGAAGTTTTTAGATTGAAAAATTTCTATTAAAAATATATCGACGTATTATATAATACTTCGGTTAATACTATATTCTATAATAAGCAAGTTGAAGTTGATGAATTACAGACGGGAAGTAAATATCGCTCAGATTGGAAGCCACGAATTAATTAATTCACAATTTAGCGGCCGCCACATGTGTTATTCACGAGTCCGAGTGAACGTTTAGTATACATAACCTTGTTCCCGTCAATTCATTACAAAAGGTACCGTGTTTATTTAAATATTATTTATACATTTATTGTTCTGCAATTGTGCATTAAAAGTAAAAGATTAATCTATAATTTAACGAATTTGTGTCACTCGATGTGTAAAAGATAAAATAATTCTTGTACAGAACAGTACAAAATAATTAAAAGTAAGAGCATGCAGTTTCAATATTTTCAAGATGTAAAATTTAACTTCTTAGGAATGGTGTTCATTGTAATTTGTGATGGTTTTCGTTAAACCGTAAAAAATTGGAGTAGTTTCAATTATAGAGTCAATCGTGCGTTATTATAATGGAAGTAAGAATTTTAATTTGATTGAACATTTATTGCAGCAAAAATGGCAAAAACACACTCAATGACGAAGGCACCTCGCAAGCAGGGCTTTAATCGCTCTGCCCATAGTATGAATCCTGAGAGGTCGGTGGAGAATCTCAAAGGTGTTGCCAAGGTCAGATCAAAAGGAACGATAAAGCGATTACAAATGTATCGTAATCAGAAAGCAAAGCGTAATAGAGTTGGAAAAATTATTAGTCCAGCTCCTTTTCAAGGATGGCTTGCATCTGGGACGGTGTCAAGAGTCGAACCATCACCGAGATGGTTTGGTAATTCTAGGGTGATTTCTCAGAATGCGCTTCAGAAATTTCAGAAAGAGTTAGGAGCGGTTAGAGAAGATCCGTACCAAGTCATTATGAAGCCGTCTATATTGCCTATAACTTTACTTCAAGAGAAGGCGAAAAATGAAAAAGTACATATTTTAGAAACTGAGAATTTTGATAGAGTGTTTGGTCCTAAGAAACAAAGAAAACGTCCTAACTTGACGGTATCTTCGTACAATGAATTTCAACAAAAAGCAGAGGAGAAGGTAGAAATTTACGATCAAGAAAAAGAGACTAAAGATCATGATTTAATAAGACCGGATGAAGGAGTTAAAGATGCTCAAAGGGATTGGGTGATGGCAGCAGGACAAAGTAAAAGAATTTGGAACGAACTGTATAAAGTGATCGATTCCTCGGATGTTGTTTTACAAGTATTAGATGCTAGGGATCCGATGGGAACTCGTTCACCTCCAGTAGAGAAATATCTTAAAAAGGAGAAAGCTCATAAGCATCTAATTTTTGTGTTGAACAAAGTTGATCTTGTGCCTACATGGGTAACTCAAAGATGGGTTGCAATCCTCAGTGCCGAATATCCAACAATAGCTTTCCATGCTTCGTTAACCCATCCGTTTGGAAAGGGTTCTCTAATAAATCTCTTACGTCAGTTTGCAAAGTTACACGCAGATAAAAAACAAATTAGCGTTGGTTTGATAGGATATCCTAACACAGGAAAGAGTTCGATCATTAATACACTTAGATCTAAAAAAGTTTGTAAAGTGGCTCCAATTGCAGGAGAAACAAAAGTATGGCAATACGTAACATTGATGCGACGAATCTATTTGATCGACTGTCCTGGGATAGTTTATCCTTCAGCAGAAACGGATACAGAAAAAGTTTTAAAGGGGGTAGTTAGGATTGAACTTATACAAAATCCTGAAGATTATATTATATCGGTATTAGAAAGAGTTAAACCAGAGTACATTAAGAAGACTTATAAAATTTTAGAATGGAGCGATCATGTAGATTTCTTGGAAAAACTTGCTCAAAGAACTGGGAAACTTTTGAAGAAAGGAGAACCTGATATTAATCAAGTTTCACGTATGGTCTTAAATGATTGGCAACGTGGTAAATTACCATTTTATGTTATGCCAGCTGGATTTGAGGAGCCGCTCGCAAAAGAGTCTGTATCTCAAGCATCTGATTGTGCAAATACTTTGACACCAGCTGCTGATAAAACTGACGAACATTCAGAAAGTAAAACACCGTCTGAAAAAAATCCAATTGGCGTAATACAAGATTTTAGGAAGATTAGGGTAGGATTGCCATATTCGAGCGAAGATTTGAAAACCGATATTTGTGAAGTGGAATCGACTCATTCGGAAAATGATATAAGTAGAACTTTAAGTTGCGAGCCATCGATTATTAATAATTCTAACAATGAAAATGACGAGATTGAAAATATAAGTGAAAATAAAAATGAGCTTGATAACTCTCAGAATATTCAAAATGAAGTTGTAGCAGATAAAAATGAAATACTAGCGGATGCAACAGAAAATATATGTACTAAAGTCTTGGAAAATTCAAATAACGAAGATACTACTTTAAATTCAGAAAATAATGAAAATTCAATTGAAAAAGATCATTTATTACAAAGTGTTTATGATGAAGTTGATACCGAATATATGGATTCTAGTGACAGTGAATTAGAAAATTTGAAAATTACTTCGACTAGTGGTATTTTTCAAATATCAAATATAAACAATCATAATAACAAACCAGTTTATTTAACAAGTAAGCAACGCAGAGCATTAGAAAGATCAAATAAGAGAAAGAAAATAGGAAGTAATTTCTATGAGGTTGCTAATGTGAAAAACAGAAATCGAAATCGCAAAATAGCTAAAGTAAAAAGAAATTAACATATAAGTTTTAATTTGTATAAATTATATTTGAATGAATTTGTTATTGATTTAGTTATTTATTTTCATAATGTAAATTAGATGAATTTTTTTAGTTTATTTTTTAGATAGAAATTTCGTTATTTTAATAAAAGTCTAACGAAAGTTAAAATAATTTTTTTAACAAAGACATAAATAAAAATAATGTATAAATAATATGAAAATTTATATATATATATTTGTATACATACAAATCCATTTATCGTATTATATATATATATATATATATATATATATATATATTCACCTAGTTTTAAAAAACAATTTGTGCTCTACATCTCGTTAATTATACGATAACGAAAAAGTCAAATTTTTGAAAATTTGAACTAAAATAAAGAATACGATGTTAAAATAACAATACAATTTGTTTATATTTCCCTTTTACCGCTATCTCCTACACATGTGAGAATGCGTACACTTACCCACGCATGCATGAGCAAATATATTACAAGTATAGCATGCACCACTATAGCATTTGCTTAGTAGTCATCTCAAAGGATTATTAAGTCAGATGGATCGAGTTCGCGCTCCAGTCTAGTCCTAAAGTGCATGTGATCCTAACTCGGAATTTCATAAGTGTATTTGAAAAAGGACTAATTCATCTCTGGAAACTCCCCTATTGAGAAACATTTCGAAAACCTTGAGTGAAAAAGGATTTTCAATTCAAATATAAAGTACTACTGTAAGAAATTTTGAGGAAAACGAACTTGACAAAATCGTTAATAATACATTTAATAAGCCACGAAATAAGTAGAGTAAATAAAATATAAAAATGACGGATACGATGTACTTGGCGAAGAATGGCGATAACGTGGAAATCGGTACGAAGGATTTACAGTTACTTCTGCAACAGAAACTCGGTGAACAAGTAATGGTATTAAAATCCACGACTTCGTCATTATTGCCATCGGGTGAGAATTTTGCTTGCTCAATTTTTGAAGTGCTTGTAGTCTTAAAGAAAAACACAAATGCACCACAAGAACAACTATATTTGATTGCCAAGATGTTTCCCAAGGAAGATTTCATCAAAAATATATTCGATTTTTCATTGTTTTTTAAAAAAGAGATCTTCTTCTATCAACGGTTATTGCCTGCATTTCAGCAACTTGAAATTGATTTTGGTACCAAGGCAAGCGAGATTTTTGATTTGGCGCCAAAAGTTTTTGGAACTAGATATTCGGCAAATTCCAATGTCAAAGTTGTCGATGATAGCACGCTCATTTTAATGGAAAATTTAAAACGAAGTGGATATTACACTTTGGATAAAATTGAAGGTATATTTTTATATTTTTTACGTATAAGTTCGTATATCTCAAATCTATAGTTATAAGTTAATGTTTTACTTGTAGAGGCGATGAAAAATGAATTTTAATATAAATTTTCCATTAAATTCTTTGGTTATTAAAATTTCGTTGCCAAACATTATATTGAGCGTGTCAGCAATTATTTGCAATATATTAATATTTACAAAAGCATTTATTGTTACATTAATATGTTCGATTTGTATCTGCATGTTTTGTAATGAAGCTTGAAAGTAAATTTATTTACACGTTCATTGGCCGATAATTTTGAATTTGTACTTCATTGTTACACTCGTTATTTCTTCACTAAAATAATCATGTTTATGGCATAATCGGATTTATTTTGTCTAACTCATTGACAAAAATTAGGAGTATTTCAATTCTAATATTAATTAGTGCTATATGTCTTCATACGGGTTCTAACGATAAATATGAAACTCTTATGCTACATATTTTCATAACTAATTTAAGATCATTTCGATTAATAAATTATTAAATTTTCAATTCACTGCATATAGGGAAATGTGTTAAGTATATAATCGATTGAGTAATCAATAAAAATAAAGTATAATAAACAAACTCTGAATCGATAATTCATATGATAATATGATATATGAAATTTAGATTTGTATTTTTTATCAAAACGGCCATAGACTGATTTACATAAATGATACTAAAAAATTTTTACTAAAATTCTATTTTTTAAGTCGAAACATTTTTGAAAACCGATCGTTTACTTTTTTTAAGGAACCACGTTTATACTAAAGTAGCATTTCTACGTTTCATATTTGTAATTTACCTTTAAAACACAATACGTAATTCATATGTATTAATAACTTAGAAATTATTATAAAATTTTATTATTATTAAAATAATAATTTTAAATTAATTATTGATAAATAATTATTGAAAACCTACTTAATGATGAATTTCTAATAATATTTAAACACAGTAAAGTAAATTTAAAAAATCTTTTGATATAGAAATCAATATAAAAATGTAAATATAACGAATAAAAACTAATTAAGTATATAAATTAAATTATAATTAATCATTTAGTAATATCGTGGTTTGATAATTCAATTGTAAAAATTCTGAAATAATATTTGATATAATATTTGATATTCTATGTGCTTGAATTTTTATTTTATGTTATTAAGTCAAAACACATTGTAATAACATAAAAATTCAAATTGCCCAATTAATATTAGTTTATTATTAAAAATTATCTATACTTCAAGGTTTTAAAGTTTATACGGAATACAATAATTATTCTAAACTTGGTATAAAAATGCTCGCATTCTCCATATTTTCTCGATTTAACAATAACGATAATATGAATTTTTTATTATTTTTTCCTAAAAATTACTAACATACGATTATTATTATCTCAATTATAATAATTAAAAATACAATACTTATTCATAATGCATAGTAATCAATGAAGTCAAAGACAATAATAAAAACAACCATAAATATAAACTTTTACATTAAATATACTTTTAAATCTTAAAAAGATATTTATAATTTAAAATACACATTAAGTTTTAATTTATTAAATGATAGCTTTTTGTGAACTTTAATAAATACATATGATAAAGTATGTCACATTTATAATTTATTTATGCTCAATTTTTAATTTATAGCTATAAAAATCGGTGATGGGCTAATAAAATGATATTTATGGTAAAATAGTCATTTAAATAAATGACTTTTTAATGGTATGCAATAAAAATCAACCTATTTAATTATAATATTCTAAGATATTAGTATAAAATTTAGTATATATATATATAAATTTAAGTATTCCAATGAATAATAAGTAGGCTTTCCTTTTTTTACAAGGCAAAAAGTCTTTAAGTATTGTATATTTTAGTCTTAATTTATTTTCACGCATGCGTGGGCGTGCATGCACATTATAATAAAAATGAATAAAAAAAACCTTTAAATTTATCGATTAATATGTATAGGAAAATATTGACTCCTTGTTATCATACTTTTAATTAAAATTCTTTTAATTTTGTTAATATTACACAGTCAATACAATCATCAATCGTCAAGTATGTGATGAAATTTTTAAGATTCATGATTTGATAGAATTTTTTCTTAAATTTTGTAATTTTCTATATAAAATAAAGTGTTCGATTAATTTATAATAACTTCGAATATCAAAATTATTCATTATTATTATATAACATACAGAGAAATAAGTAAGATATATATAATTTTTTTTTTTTTTTTAACGCATTTAATAAATTTTATCATGGTATCACACGTCTTTAGAGAAGAATACTATTTATTTATACCACTCCCTGTATAACAAATTTACAAAATTATAATAAATCACATGCTAATGATTATAGCGTAGTTTTATTATGTTTAAAATGATTTTTTAAACAAAGTGAAAGTGCATACTCTGTACAGTATATACATGATCATGTCGGCATGCAAAAACATAGCAACGCACATGAATACTTTCTTTCACGCAATAGTTAATGCAAATAATTTTTGTTTCGAATATTAAATAAATAACGCATACTTGAAGAGATATTCTAGTATAATGTACGAGTAATTGCATAATTTGTATAAGAAGTGTGCAAAAAAATGTCTTCGGGTTATATCAAAGATCTGAGTTTCAAATACTGTTATAACGATAACGGGAGTATACCACATTCTACCTGAGCTTACGTTTTTAAATCATAATATTGTAAAGGCGACAAATATATCGACTATACTTTTAAAGACTATTATAATAACAAACTCTATATTAGCAATTAATTTTTATACAAAAAGTATGTGCAGACTAGAGGATTTTAAGAACGGATAGGTATGAGCTCACAGAAATTAAATAGATTTTCCAACGAAAGCGTCAGTGGTTGTATTGCAGATAAATTCATCAACAAAATTATAATTCGTTTATATTTAATTCTAATAATGTCGAAGATCTGTAGTGAATTTACGAGTTTAGAGGAATTGATATAATGCAAACACTTACTGCCCACCTGAAAACAATATAATAGTAAATGTATGTGATATAAATATATAAAGAGAATGTGATCATTATCAATTATCAATTACATTATTATCAATCTTAAACGAAAAGTTTTTATTAACTTAGCTATTATAAAAAAAATCTCAGTTTATTAAGTTATTAGCCAATTCTTTAAAAAAATGATTTTTACGAACACCCCAAACTTATCAATTTATCAAAGAAAGAAGCGTTTATAAACAAAAACTGAAAATAATCAACGATGTGTCAAACTCGCTTATAAGTAAATTTATAAACTACTATTATTATTCATAATTAAACCCTGTAAATATTGTAAATGTTGAAATACAATGATTTTAAGATAAATATAATATGTTATAATATACCAATCTAGCTGTAAATCTGGTATTTTAATGATATATATATATATATATATATTTTTTTTTTTTTTTAATTTTTTTTACTACGATAAAAAATATGATTATTTTTGACCGCCATTAAATTGCATTTAATAAGTTATTTTGCAATAAATTTTTAAATAATTTTGTTTATATTGAAGTATGCATTATCGATTGCCTTGTAGTCTGTCGATTAATTCAACAATTTCTTATGGATAATGGATGAATAATTATTAAAAAAGTTTTAAAGAACTATTGAAATAAGTTTGCAAAACTTAAGACTCCGGCAATTTTAATTGAGACGGCTCAAAACTTCAATGACAACGCTTCTAAAGCATTACATTCTTAAAAAATATTAATTTTGAAAATACGAATCAATAATGAACTTCAGAAGACAATTTTAATCGAGCGTCTATTCATCGGCATTATTTATTTACAAAAAATAAAAATCTTACAGGCTTGGATTTGAATCACTCAAGAATGGCTATAAGGACTCTAGCGAGATTCCACGCACTTGGCATTGCTTGCAAACATTATCGTCCGGAATTCTTCGAGACCGAGGTTCTCGCCCATTCCAAGATCGTCCCCTACCAAAACTTAAAGAATGCGAAAAACATGTTCGACGTGATGTTCAATAAACTGTGCGAGGACCCACGTATAGCCGTGCATCGCGAGGCCCTCGGTATAGTTCTGGGCCAAAAAATGAAGTCAATGTACTTCGAGTACGTCGCCAATGACCCGTGGCTATCCCTCGTCCACTTGGACGCTTGGACTAACAATATACTTTATCGTAAGGACGAGGAAGGCAACTTGCACGATATAAAGATGATAGATTTCCAAAATTATACGTACAATAGTCCATTGAGGGATCTCCCATATTTTTTGTGCACGAGCACCAGGCGCGATGTCTTCGCTGGGAAGCTCGACGAGTTGTTGGATTTGTATTACGAAACTTTCATCGAGGTCCTGAAAAAAATGCGCTGCAACGTCGAGCCCTTTAATAGGAGCTCTTTCGACAAGCAACTAAACATTGATTGCTCGATAGAATTTTTCCATTCGATTTTGGCAATAAAGTTCTTTTATGCCGAGATCGACGTTAACACCTACAATTCCAATCAGTTAGAGTCTGTTATTATACATAGCAAACTCACTCCATCCGGTTACGACAAATGGTACGATATTGTAACAACTTATATCAAACGAGGATGGATACAGGATTTCTTATGATTTTCGACATTTAAACATGGCTATGAAAATAAATATTAATTCAACGTTTAAACCTTAAGAAAAAAAAAAAAATCAAAACAAAAAAATTGGGTTTTTCAAGACTTCAAATCTATGCGTGAACATACAATTTATGCATTTCTTTATATATACAAAAATCATCATACTTTGCTTATTATTGTGCAACCATTAATAATGGGCTCTCATTGATTACTACATGAATATTAAAATATATTTAATAGGGAAATTTATAAGGATATTTCGGTAAATATATTTATAAATAGAATTACTTTAATCGAAGACAATTGTAATGAAACGTTCATCGACTCTTTTATTATTTACATTTATAAATCTTATTATAAATCTTAAATTTTAAATATTAAAATATCTTATAATTCGCTTGAATTGTTATTGCTTTTACAACAATTGCATAAAACACTTTTTAGATAAATTTTTGAAATCACTTATAGTAAGTAATTTATTAAATATTTTATTATAAAATTAATTTAATTTACCATAATAACAATGCTTTTATCTACATTCTTTTTGTTGTGGTTCTTCTTCGATTTCATACTCAATTTCCACCTTTGGTCGTGACTTCACTTTCGTAAATCTTTTACCTTTCAATCCTACTTTAGGTCTGCTTGTCATTTTACTAGTAGATGGGCCGGCATCCTGGAAAATAATAATTTAATTAAGGTAGTATTTTTTATCATAATTTTATGTAAAGATTAAAATTGCAATAGACAAACCTCGATGTCACTTATATCGGACTCAAAATCGCTGGATAATTCTATTTGTTCTTTTAAACCAGAGTCACTTTCATCATCCTAGAAAAGATAATTTTTCCTATACATAATTGCCCGATTATGGAAATCAATTTAATCTAAATAACAAAAACGAACCATCTCATATTCATATTCCTTATCATCTTCGTCCTCTTCATCGCTATCGGCTGCGATAAACTTCATACTTGTTTCAATTGATTTCTCATCAGCTTCCAATTCCATCTCAACTTCTTTATTAATCTCTTGCTTCTCATTCTGAAATTTCAATTGAAAAATATTTTTAATTAAATGTACAAACAATATTCGAAGAATTGTCAAAGCATTAAATTCAACTTACATTTTCGCTTTCAGCTTCGCTTTCATCTTCAACTTCAACAGCCTCCACTGCTTTATCAAACACTTTTTGAGGAAAATTATATATATCTTTATACTGAAAATAGAGAAAAATATAATTTAATTTCTAATGAAATGATCGTATTATCGTAATTATATCGATAAATTCAAAGTATTTACCACTCCATTCTTCAAGCGCTCCATTAATTGCTTTTCTATATTTGTGTCGAGCTTCGCAGCGACAAGAGCCTTTTCTTCCCTACGTCTTTCACGCCTTTCAATTTTTTTTTGCAAAGGAATTATTTTCTTTTGACGTCTAAGTTTAATTTTTCTCATTCTAATTAAATATTGGGTTATTTTGACAAATCGTTGCTTACATTTTGATTTTATAAATCCTGGCCAATATAATAGGTTCTCATTGATTTGATATATTGCTTTTTCAAAATTTCTTGATAATTTCACTTTTTCCCACATATCTTTTGGAGTATGAATTCTAAAATATAACAACAGTGACTTTATTGAAATGTTTATGACAAGCAATAATAATAACATCTCATATTTTTATATAACAATTAATGTAATATCTACAAATTCTACGATCTAATGTAATATATTATATAGAATTAACGATCGTCCTTTTATAAATAAACGATAGTTATTTAACCACATTGCAATTACATGGCGGTTGTCAATTTCATTGCAATTAATTACCTTTCAGCTGTTCTCATGTACAAGTAAATAATACCATTTTCCTCTCTAATAGTGGCATACTGACTATTCGCCAACGGACATGCCGATCGACTACACAAACCCGTGAGATTATATTCGTTTTTACAAAATTTTTGCGTCTTCGAGCTGCAATAAAAAGCATTCGATTTATTAATAATTAGACAAGAATTTAAGGCGTCAATTATTAATTACGGCAAAATTACTTGATTTTGAACGAGCAGAATGTTTTGTTAATAATACTCCAGACAACCTGTAAATTATATGGAAATTAACGACAATTTGAAATATTTAATTATAAATGACAATTTTTAACTTACATCATCGTGCTGCATTTTAACTTAATGGTTAACTTTGATCCTCCGATTGAAATTCTTTCACTTATTATAACGTTAATTTATAGGCGTCGGAGGTGCACACGTTTACACGTGTAATGTATTGTTGTTAAATTTCCGCTATCGGCTTAGGTTATGTTTCAGCTCATATGTGTGTACCGTACCTACCGTTGATATCTACTTACCGATCGAAATTCATGCGCCATATTCGGAAATTTTGAAAATTGCCTACCCTACATACCTCTTCTTATGTGATCCTGGTCAATTTTGTATTTTATACTGCAAATTCATGATTAGGAAATGGATTTTTATTAAACAAAGGCGTTTATCTCGACACAAGTAACAGTGGTAATATCGTAGTCACATTCGTTCTAATAATTTATCACACGCCCCCATCAATTTTTCACATATCTACACATCTAATTCTAGACTCGAATACCTTTGGAAATGACATCTGCAAGCGTATGTGCATACACGCGCGCGCCTATATATATATATATATATATATATATATATATAATAATCAAATTTCTAGACAACTAGTACAGATTTGGTATTGTGGCTTTAAAAATAAGCTTCAAATATACAAGAAATAAGCCAGCCTAACTAATCGTTAATTGAAATTTTTATAATCAAAATATACGGGCTCGTAAATTTATTCACCTATTAATATTGCCGCCCTACAATTTGCTTCATTGATAATTTCGATGAAAAATTTTTCCTTTACAAAATGCCGCCCATCAAGCGCAAGTAAAAGTCATCGTAGTCGTGTTTGCCTTACAGTTGGCACTCCACCAACCATGTCTAAGAAGAATAATTTAATTTTCAAGATTTTTCCTACGCGAAAAAATTACAAATACATTGCACATAGCGTCGACATTATTATTATTATTATTATTATTATTATTATTATTATTGTTATTGTTATTGTTATTATTGTTATTATTGTTATTGTTATTATTATTATTATTATTATTATTACATTATTTTCAGACTATAAATAACTTTTAATCATTGCAATGTTGTTCGACAAGTTTAGCAAGTTCCATTTAACAATATAATAATAACTTGCAACATTCTCATCAAATGCGCCAAATAATAATTTCTTATCGGTCTCGCATAGTATTCCTTCACGACTTTTCCTTTACCATTCAACAATATAGACAAGCTATCAGCAAATGCTGCACACTTCTATTTCAGTCTCTCAAAAACCGCAAAATCATCGACTACCGCGGTTATACTATTTACTCACTCAACCAATTATTAATTATTTATTAGTATTTATTTCTCTTGTCGCTGTATCGCCCTTGATCTCCTCGTCCTCCTACGTCCCGTCAATCATTATTTTCTTCCTTTTTATCCATTAAAGTAAGGTAAAAGTCGTAAAGCCACGATTTTACAGGTTATTTGCACGCGAACTCGGTGAACCCTCAAAGAAACCCAACTAAATTTGTCTCTTGCCCATTCGCTTATTAGATTGCGCCCGAGAAAGCTCTTAGTCCCCATAATAAAATGCCAATTCTAGGTTCGAGAGAATGACGAGGAGTGGAACGGTCGAGGGGCTCGGAGAATATATCTACATGGCGATCGCCGATGAAGGACGATGAACGACAACGAAAATACACCCGACGATGACGCTCGGCCATTTCCATCCGCGTTTTTTCTCTCTCCTATTTTTTTCTCTTTCTTTTTTTTTTATTTTTTTTTTTTTTTTATATCCGTGCCGCGCAAATACAAGAGCCACGTTAAATTTGAAAACGCGCTGCATAATGGCAATGCGCGGATAATTTATAATTCATGCAAGGTGGAATAATATAGTGCGACCGATGGATGGCGCGCGATTTCCAAGCCAGTGAGTCAGCGCGACAGAGCGGTCGTTTAAATGAGACGCCTCGGCGAAGGCGGCCACCAGGCTCGCTTATATCTTAGCCAAAAAATCTCCTCGGCGATAACTTGCACGCATCGCCCGCCCACGGGAACAAAACAAAAGATTAAACGAATGTAACGGGAGGACGGTGGATACAGAATTGGTGCGATGCTCCCGAGTAACGGCAGCGGTGATCGTGGCGGCAACGGCGGCGGTGGCGGCGATGGCCCTTAATGCGAGTGCGGCCTAAAGCCGCCGTCGGCGCTGGGTCACATGCGACGGCGATTAGCTAGAGGTAGGTAGGTAGCCAGCGGGCGGGCGAGCGAGCAAGCGAGCAAGCAAGCAAGCAAGCAAGCAAGCAAGCAAGCAGCGACTAGTGAGCGAACGGCCCCTCGGCTCTTCTGGCCTAATAGCGGCTAAAAAGTGCGAGTGCCAGTGGGGGAGCGAGCGAGGAGGGAAATACCGGCCAATCAGATAACGGCTCGTCTGGAAAACGTAGCTGGCCGCCCGCTCTGCTCACGTAGTCACGTCTTCATGGATCCGGAGCTCGGCCTCGCGCACAGCTCCTCGGCTCCCGTCTCCTCGTTTTGAAGAAGCCACGCCGGCGCTCCAGCACAGCGACTCGCGCCCATCATGTCGGGTGAGTATCCTCGTGTCCTTCCCGACGCGGTCCAACGCTCCCTCCGTCTCTGCCGCTTTACCCTTCCTCCACCCCACCCCACCCCACCCCACCCGTCCCGCGCCCGCACGCACGCACGCACGCACGCACGCACGCACGCGAGCACGCACGCACACCCTTTCGACCCCCCTTCGCAACCCTCCCCTCCCCGCATCAGTCACAGCCATCCGTCGGCCCATCCTGGCTGGATCGTCGACCGGGGTTGTTCGCTTTCCGTCTGGGCGGGAGGTGGCATCGTGCGCCACCGCAGGCCGTGGCACCTTCCAACATAACCAAACGCCCGCAGCGTGTCGACCTTCGAACCCGAAGCCCACGGCCTGGGTGCCCGTGACTACGTGACTTCGTGGCTCCGTAACATCGTGGCTCCCTGGCTCCCTAGCTCCCTAGCTCCCTAGCTCCCTGGCTCCCAAGTTTCCAAATCCTCGCACGACTCCGGGATTCGTCCGTCCAACCATCCCCCGCGTACCCGCGTCCTCGCCCTTTCCTCCCACCCTCCCGCGTTCTCGTCCTCATCCTCGTCCTCGTCCTTGTGATTCTCCTACTCTCCTGCTCTTTCGTTACCATCGATGCGCGGCCCCTTAACCGACCCCCTTCCCGCCCCAACGTTGTCGCCATGTCGCCACGAGGCGATAGCCGTTGCCTGAATTTCTCCGAGGATGAAGTTGCGACGATCGTGCAGGGGCAAGGAGGAACGCGAGCCGATGAATGCCACGCTCGTGCTTTCGTATTTTGCAATAAGCCCTTGATTTTTCGCGCGGATTGGCTTTTCTGGTGAATTGTACTTAAGATACCGGGTGGTTAGAGGCGGCTTCCTCAGCCTCTCAACCATTTATTTTGTAGTCAGTCTAAATTCAACGCTCTCTCCTCTTTCCACTACTTTTATTGCATTGCTATGATGTTGTTCTTTTTCCTAGCTTCGTTTTAGAGCTAATCGAGTCTTGGAACGCCCAGTTATAATGCAATGCCTATCACTGTACGTAAGCAGCGAGTGAGAATATTTTATATTTCAAACGAGCGTTTGTAATTAGTTAATTAGTCTGTTTTTGCGATGAGCTTGAGTGGTTAAATACAAATAATTTGGCGAGTAAAGTTCTCATTTTAAGCCTTAGACTGGTTTTACATTAACGTCATAGTCTGATCTAAGTTCGCCTAACGCGATCCCTCTCTTCCTTTCTTCAAAAAGCGATTGTAGTTTCATGGACAAAGCCATAACTTTAGTCCAATTTGTAATAACTCTATATTTATTTATAACCTAACTTTAAATTGAATAGCTTCCATATTGTTGGTGCAAATTTTTTTTTATTTTTTGTTTTTTGTATTATTTCTTGTGTTCATTGAGAGTATAATTTGAGGCATAATCTGCGTGTACGAGGAACCAATGCGATTTATAGATAAGCATGTATTTTGCGATTGCAAAGTAAAAGTGTATCGTTAATTTTTTATTCCCAGGTAAAAAAGGAAAGAAAACTAAAAGAATTACAGTTCCTCTTCACACTTTCTTATGCGAAGATGGTTCGGGAGCTAATTATCCTGTAATATCTAAATCCAACAATTGGGCAGACGCTACGGAAGATGATGACGATTGTAAGAAAACTGACATCGAGAGATTTTTCGATACCGCTAATAAGATTTAATTATGTAAACCGATAATCACATTTTGCTTCTCCAGATGGCTATTCTTATCGAAGTAAAGAACCAGTTGTCCTACCAACGGCCCCAAGATCATCTCGCGATCCCAGTGTCAACGAGGAGAATATTCCAACGATTCCTCCTTTCGTTGCGTACATTTCAAATCTTCCATACGACGTGGAGGAAGAGGATTTGGCCGAATTCTTTCAGAACATGAAGGTTATCTTTGAAATTTAAAAAAACAAAATAAAAATTTAACCAATTCAATCGTTAACGAATCCAAAAATTAATATCCTTAGGTATGCAGCATGCGCCTTCCAAAGGAATCAAATAAATCCAAAGGATATGGTTATGTTGAGTTTGACGACAGACAGAGTTTAATAGATGCCTTGTCCATGGTCGACACGGTAATTTCAAACTTAATTAATTTACATCTATCGTCACGCGCAAAAGTAATATTAACGTTTTTCTATTTTCTTTCTTTCATCTTTTTGTTTTGTTTTTGTTCCCCCACCTCCCCCCTAACGATGAACTTTAATGATATTTAATCATAAATGTATGCATAATACTTTCTACGATATGAGCTTTATTATATGCCAATTCCTTTCCACTTTCAATTTACTATATGAATTTTGACTAAACTTTTAATTGCCAAACGAGGCTTCACTCTAAGCGGATGTTCATTGTGTAACCAATAGGAGTTACATTTTTTGCGATTTTACACAAATATTTTCAAAAGTATGTCAAAAACCATAGACACTGCGTACGAGTAATTTTCCTTAATTTAGAAATATTTTAAATATTATTAAACATTATTCATTAAGT